GACCCTTCCAAACCCAACATGGCCCGTGTCGTGGCAACATGCCGCAGCCAACTGGAACAGTCCCCAAACGGGTCGCACTTCCGAAAGCTCTGTGCAGCGCCTGGTTGGACCATGGTGCAGCAGGCAGCGGAGGAAGCAGGATTGAGGTCTGATTGCGTGAGGCAGGAGACTCTGAGCCAGTGCGATCTGGAGACACTTTCACATGCAGTGCAGGCAATCCGACGGCTTCAGACCCTTGGACGCGCCGACAGCTAGAGTGCTAGAGTCAGACACGCAATCCAACAGAGGTCGCCTCTATCGAAACTGCTGTTGCCACAGTCTTGGCATGAACATGAACGGGTAACTTGATATATACCTACAGCTGGGTGCACTGTCCTTCGAAGCAAGGCGAACTTCTCGTCCGAAATGCCCAGACTCGAACTCAGCTCATGCTCCTGTGCGCTTCAACAAGTCTCGGCACAAGCTCGAGTTTTGGCGCTCTTGGTCAGAAGGTCTTTCAGATGATAACCGTCTCACTAAATCCACGTGCAGCATTGCAATAACGGATCGGAATCAGCTTTCTAGAGGCTCCTGCTTGCGCTCGGACAGCCTGGCATAGCAGCAAACACTTCCAATTATCTGAGGAGGTCGAGCCATTGTGTTTAACGCTGAGGATCTGGAGTCCGCTTGTTCTTTCTTTTTTGGGGGCAGTGGGGTGGGCCCCAGGGTGCAAACTGGCGTAAAGGTTGAAAGGTGCAGACTGTCACAGGGCGGCCCGGGATGTATGCGTGCGATTACAGCACTTCCAACCGACAGTGACATCCACTGTTCGTAATCGCTTACAGTGGGAACTTGACTGCCACAGCGCCTATGGCTTGAGTACTCTTGCTCCTCTCATTTCAAGAAACACAAGTCGGATTGTGATTCTCCACATGACTACAGCCTGCGGCTAATGCGACTGCAGCGGCTGCAGTTGTGTTGCTGCTGCTGCTGCTGCTGCTGCCGGTGGTGCCGGTAGTGCCGGTACTGGTGGTGGCGGTGGCCGTGGCGATGCTTGTGACTGTTTGGCATGTTGCGGCTGAACGGCTGCTGTTGCTATTTCTTGCGTTATGGTTCTGTCTTCCTGCAAAGCTATAAGTAATAAGAATATAGCAGAAAACCCAGAAGCCCCACGGCAGAAATCACCACAGGGAGTTCGAGGAAAAACGCGCCTAACTTGTTCCATCATCATCTGGAAGAAATCATGAAACCTTAGGCTTGTGTGGCCATGACCTTTCGTCAGTATTCCCACGCTCCAGCAACAGCAGCAGCAATCAAAGGACCCAAGACATGCATTATCGTGACCACTCCTGCTGTCGTAGTGCAAGACGCGAATGCACAAACCATGCCACGAAGATCACGTCCACCAGAGCGGCTGGTCCAGGACGCTGTGCTAGCGAATCCAGATTATGTCAGAACTTTCCAAAACAGATGCCTTGACTGACTCTCAGAATGGTACTAGCATCTCGTTCGGTGGTGATACTCTGGTTACATAGACACATACTCATTGCCAGTATCTCCATCAGCGCACCCCGAAACCAACAATATCACGCAAAGCGGCTCCATCAGCTCGAAGCTGCCGGAGCCATCCCGGTCCAGCTGTTCGATGACATTGCCAATCTGACAGATTCGAGGTTCCACGAACTCTGCTTCGCAGTAAGGTGTGAGTTTGTGCACACTCTTCAACTATTGGACACAAAGTTTCTGTGCAGAGTAGAGCAGCCTGCATGACGAGTGAACACTGTAGTCCTCAAGGGGCTGGCTGTCGAATGACCCGGGAAGGTGTTGACGTATTTATTTCACCAGCTCAGTCTTGCTGTTCCATCCCGAGTTGAAGAGAGCTGGTCCATTGTCCTCTGTACTTGGAAGCCTCAAGTTGGCATGTGCGTGGCCTCGTGCTGCTCAACCTTCGTCCGCGGCAGCATTCCAAACTCCTTCGCAGATCGGGGCCCTGGGCTTGCGTACGGAGTGTGAAGCCATGTCAAGCCGCTTGTCGAGCCTCCAGGATGCCGTAGATCTCATGGAAGCTTAGTTCACCACCTCAATCAAAAAACGAAGCCCTGCCGTTTCATTCATCTTCTGGTGTGTTGAGTCTCTGGCTGCCGTCTCGGTCGTAGTGCCGGAAGCTGGCAGTCAGGTCCTCCAATGCGAAGTTGAAACGGAACTTGCAAGCAAAGGCTTCTTGCATGGCGCTACTTGGAACTTCGCGATGCTCTGTGCACAGTATAGCTCTTATCAAGTCCTCCTCTAGACTGGCTCTTATCGCCACGCGAGCCTGGAGTCGAGGGCGCAGCAGGGCGCTCCACTCCACTCCATGAAGATCCCTGAAGGTCACTATCTACTTCTTCTGCGACCGTAAAAACGTCTCAACGCGCTCGCGAGGAAACCTCCAGCCGCAGCCCGGAAATTCCTTCTACACAGCCAAACCTCTAGACGAGAGCCAGGGGGTCTGCACGCCAAGAGAATCCTGTAGCTTTGCCTGTGGAATGCACATTCAAGGGGTTGCACGCCCTGCCTTTTGCACGAGCTCCAGCACATCCTCGCCAACCAAAGCTGCAAGCTGAGTGCCGACGGCCTAACCCTGGGTAGAATCATTAGCACATGTCATAGTCTGGCCCAGCGTCTGGAAATTTGGTATGCTGCCCGGCGAACTCCTTGATGATGTCCAACAGCGGAAGGCACCTAAGTTTAGTCACACTCAGCCGTGACACACACACACACACATGCTTGCAGCTGGATGACCTACCTGTGCTGCACCTGGCGATCTACCTACAGCGATTGACGCCGATAGTGGCCCTGCACAGGTTCAGCCCACGCATGTTGAACTGATTCACGCCAACTACGTGGTCCACGCGACGTTGGACAGAGTATGATACTCTAAGAACATCTGGGCGGCTGCATCTCCTCCGTGTTCGGTGGTGCTGTGCCGATGTCCACCATGAAGGGCAGCAAGTCCTCTTTACGCAGGCCTTCCATGTTCTCACGATCGCCTCTGCTAAGTCAAGCCGTTTTCGGACCTTGGTCAGGTTTTCCGAAGGAGTAGCGCTCGAAGACCTTCCAAAGAAAGGGAAGGCTCGAGCCTGGGCGGAAAACTCTGGGCGGCCACAGCGATGCTCGCTCTCACTACGCTGTGGCAACATCCCATTCACGCCCCAACAAATATCTTGAGAACAATGCCACTTGTTGCCTTGCGGCTTTGCACACTCTGATTGCAGCGAGAGAAGCGGAATTCACTGACAATCTCCGGCTCCAGTTGGAACCTTGAGTCTCGAAGAGACGATTTACCGAAAGCGGCTTGAATCAACGCAAAGTCGGCGTTGACATGTAGCTTCCCACTCTCCGTGCAGCAATGGCAGCCCCATAGAACGATGCTAAGCCCCCACCAGCTTCGTAAATTCTATCAACTTCGCCACTGAGACACACACTGCTGAGCATCAAGCTTTGCTGAAGACTCAATGACGCAAAGAACGGACCCGAACATGTCAAGAAAGCGACTACGAATGCTCACTGAACAAGCTTTCAGAGCATGGTGCTTCTTTGCGATGGAAACCTCCTCTCTTCGGCGAAGTGTCAGCAGCTTGGCCCTGACCTTTTCTTCGAAGCTGGTGTTTGAGCTTCTATTCTGATGCTCATGAGACCTACACCTTCTGGACGAAGAGTTGGAACTCCTCCAGGTTCAGAGCGCCTCACGCAGCAGCTCGGACGGGGGTGGAGAACTGATAACAAACACTCACGATCGCGAGGAGCCCCTTTCGCGTGCCTTTCGCTTCCGAGTCGCATTGGGTCAAGACGTTCAGGGCCTGCACAGAGCTTCTGTGACCAACTTCGGCATGTAGCCGCAGTGGGCCAGAGGAGAAAAGGCGCATGAAAAGGTGGGGTTTAGGCCTTCAGAACTTACCATCGGATAATTGTCGGAAGACTGTACTCAACGATGGTGCCGTGAGGAAAGAGGTGAAGTACCTCATGAAACGTACGCTTCCGCGACAGCTACTTGCAGCAGGCCTTGTACAAGGATACGCTTCTTGCCGGTGTGCAATTGATGGCCAGCGGGTAATTTAGCAAAGATCTGCCGGCAAAGGGAGATCTCTTTTTCCCACAACAGCCCAACACAATTGTGCGGAGTGAGAGAGGGAGAGCAAAACTAGAAAGAACGAGTTGATTTGTGAGTGTGCGCGCGTGCGCATTTTGAGCCATCCGGACTGACCAGCGACCTCAGTGCTCTCCTCGGCCGAACGCAAGAAGAGGCCCAGCTTAGTCTCCTTGCAGGGGCCGGAGTGGAGGGCTGTCCTTTGAAGGGCTTAAACGCTTCTCCGAAACCGAAGGAAGAACAACGCTTCATAGAACAGCACGACTTAATGCGCGACTTAAGAGGATGTGCCTGAATTCGCCAGGCGGTCCCGGCCGACAGCATCCGATAGCCCCGAAATCCGTGCTTGTGTGAGCAGCAAAAGCACTGTCCAGGAGCGTCATGACGTCGGCGATCTCCAAGCTATCGTTCCCTTTTACGTCTGCCTGGGCGAAGTTGATGAAGTCTCAGGAACACCTTCAAGGTAGACGTTTGTTTGTCGCGTCTGGTGTCAAAGCAGCACACATCTTGGCTGTTCGGCGCTCACACTCGGACAATCCAGGCGAGGCCTATGGTTCGAGGTCTGCAGCATGAAACAAAGGGGTACTGCCACGAAACCATGTCGCGAGCCTGCGCTACTCAAGTCCTCGTTACCCCTGAATTTTTGACCCGAACCGAGCTGGGGACACTGTCATCCGTGCAATCAGCAACACAATGCACTGGATCTGAGTCCACAACTTCATGGAAGAGCCTCCAGCTTTTTTCGTTCTGAACCTGCCCACCCAGACATGTGCAGTTCGAGACTGACACGCTTGCAGCGCTTGAGAGTCCAATGCCGCAAATCATAGCATGTGGCAAAGCCGGGGATGCTTCGGGGAAATTTCTTGGATCGCCGGATCCTCTTGCAAGCGAGGTTGAGTGAGAAAAACGAGTCTGAGCACGCGTCCACAAAATTCAGCTGCACAAAAGAAGCTCTTTGAATGTTTAACATCCACATCGGTCCAAACATGCGTCCAAGCCTGACGGACACGCTCTCGCACTTCCTTCAACAGCTCCAGAAAAGGCTCGAACGTGAACTCCTGAACACACTTCTGCATTCTGCTCCATGTGGCGTCGCAACAAGGTATGTTTCAGCGGGGATGCAGTCTCTGATTTGCTTGCGTCAACGACCAAGATTCATCAACAGCCGTGCAAATCAGCGCAGCTCTGGCTACACTTGTGTCAAAGCACATCCATAGCGCTCTCTCCTCGCAGCCTATTTTCTGGGTCATCTCAATGATGCACTCATTGACCTGTGCTTTTCTCTTTTGACAAGTATCTTTGCAGGATTTCGACCCGTCGCTTTCAGCTCTAGGCGACATATGGCGGCCTCGAGCTTCTCCTCCCTGTTTTGCGGGGTCAGGCCAATGTCGGCAAGGATGTTTCGGACCTCCTGCATTGGAAACAAAGTGCCGAAACCATACTTCCGATCTCACGCCTGACTCCCCACGAGACGCGCAGTCCGGGCATCGCTCGCAAAAATGCTCGACATTGCTCGACTGGACTCACCGAGTGAGCGACACTTAGTGTGTCCGCTGTACTCCTCCAAATCCAGAGTTCCACTGCCATCGAAATCATAGTGGCGGAACTGGATATCCAAGTTGTTGACCTGTTGGTTTGAGCTTTCTTTCTTTCCCTAACAAAACTAAATTTAATAATGCCCCTTCCTCATCCCCCCCCAGTGGGAACAACAGATCGACACATGGGGCTCCAAGAAGCACGAGCTTCTGCAGAACTCTGTGGCAGCGTGTTTTCGCTACATCGCCCTTAGTTCTCCTTCCACGCATGAGGTTGTATTGACTTTCCTAGGCATGTTCTGAAGAACATACTTGTGAACGAAGCGAAATCTCTTGGACTGAGGCGCAATTAGCTGAAGTCTTTGGGAATCCGCCCTTGAAGTTAAAATTGGTGTATGACTACCAGACTATCCAGGACTTCAAGGACTCCGTGCAGCCGGCAAGAATTCAACACTTGCTTTCAAGGCCACCCATCACGACAAGGCATTCGTCGATCCCGTCACAGCCGCCAGTCCGATGCAAAGAAGCCCCATGGCTCCACTTCCAACGAACCCCGTTCCTCGCAACCACGAGCCTTCTGCAGAGCTCCCAAACTCACTCAGAACTGTGTCGTCTCCACTGAATTGTCCACAATTCAAGATAGGTTTATTCCGATTTACTGTTGCCTTCGAAGGCTGCATCCGGATGAATTACATGCTGTTCATCGCTGCTGATTTTTTATGAACACATGGGGGCCACTACGCACTGCACACCAGACGCAGGACATTCGGGGAAGACATCGTTTCCGCAAACGCTTCCGCGCACAGTCTCATGCCCATATGTGCCCATTTCGGAATCTCGGCTGGAATGATTTCTACCCTTACCACTACCGCAGGATGAAAGTTCGCCACACGGCTTCGACGTCAACACATGAGACACTGAAACCCGTCTCCCCCTTAGACTCCTCGCACAAGATCCCACAAGCTCTCCGCCGAGAACATGATAGTAATATAGTTTGATGCCGGGAAATTAACTACTCCGTCACGCTGGCCACGTCAAACGGACCTGTGGCTACTCCGCTTCTCCGCCTGGTATATGTTCATGGTAAGTTGACGACATCCTCCGTGTGTCGAAACTTTTGTACCGGTGATGTAGTTATAAAAGACATACATGTTGCGCCCAAACATCTTGACAGGCATGATGAGGAAGAAACGTGCATTGTCGGATCAATCTTGCAAGCGTTTGCAAGCTAGAGCTCGCACCAGCGAGATGTCTAGGACATGACCGCTTGCACGACAAGCTACAGTGGAAGTGAAGGGTTTGGATAGCAGCGGAAGGCGTCGTTTTTGGCGTCGTCGTCTCCACTGTCGCTGCTAAACGCGCAGAGTTTGCTGTGCTAGTGCAGCGTGTCAAGATTGTTCTACGGTTCCGGTGGCGGTCGATATCTCGTCCAGGGCTAACGACAGGCAGAACAAGACAATACGACGCGTGACAGTAACAGTTATAGTAGGGCTATTCGGACAGTCTACAGCACCTAATCGCACTTGCCAGAACAACTGGCACATCCGGTTAAATGTGCGAATCTTATTATAGTTACACGGACTTTCATTGTCTGACAACAGCCTACAACAACCAACGGCCTCATGAGACTCTAGTTCGAGATCGGAAACCGTTAAATCTAAACCAGACCACCATGTGTCACCTGTCAAAGAGTGCGCGGTTGCGCCAACGGGATGAGTGAAAAGCGGCAAATGTGAGAATCCCTCCGGTCTCGGTGCCTCTTGCTCTGGCAGCCCCAGCTTATTCGCCAGACCCTTGAGTTCCTGAGGCCGTGCACTGCTTTGTGTGCCAGTCGGAGGACAAATCATGGCACGTCCCTGCAACCTGAGACTACAAAGACTGCCCAGGATGTTTCACTGCTGATTCATTCCATAAAGCGGGTGGCCTCGTTCGAGATGCTGTACTGCTCTGTTCGCGCATTCTGCCCGCCCTGAGTTCAATGCAGTGGTATCACGGGAATCTCGAGGCACGAAGCACGTGAATTGAAGCGACATATGCTACTTAAAAGCACTGCAGGTATCTGGACGCAAACCTTGGCAACGGCCTTGTTGAGTTTGCTGTCGAAAAGTTTCTTGAGGTAGTCAATCCGCTCGCTGTACCGCAATTGCATATACCTGGCATTGCAATAGCATGGTAGCGTGGCAAAACAGTGATGAAACCCAAGGAAGCACAGGCATGCCGAAGGGCTCCACGGCAGTTTACAGAGCAAGTCTTTTCAATGTGTCTGCCTCCTGCTTATAGTGCTGCTGCTTCCACTCACAATGAGCCACATTTCGCAATGCAATAGCTAATAAAGCAAAGCAGGGAACCGGAAGGCGAGGTTGATGTATCGTCGCGTGCAGCTCATGACCTGGAGCTGACAAACATTACTTCGAGCAAGCGTCGTCCCTGCATTCATTGCTCTGGCACATTGTCAGTTGCTGATGCCATGCCATGCAGCACGACGCACATTGCCCCAAACCTGACAGAAACTGTGTAGCTACGGTATGTATCGGTTCGTGTACGACCGTGTTCTCTCGAGAGCGCATCTGATTGCCCCACACGTATGACATGTCAGCATATTGCATCGGAAACGACATTGATGGCTAAGTTTGGATGGAACCCCTTGGCATTTCAACGCATGAGCCTGCCATCGAGCTGCCTTTTTGCTTCGTATCTGCCCGAACAGCTGGGAATGGCGATCATGGTCACACAACGAGCCGCGAAGCTGGCAACGTCCTTCCGAGAACCCGGATCATGACGAGGAAGCGAAATATGTCTCATTGTACCGTCTCCGTCGTTTCCGTTTCTCTGAGACGTCAAACCAGGAACCCCTCTGCTTTGCGCTCGGCATGCAGAAGAGTGGAGACATCTCGAGATCGAGCTGAACGAAAAGAACGCAGACTCTCAGGCGCCGGCATCGGCTTGAACCGCTTTACGTCGAACCGTCCGCCTGGCCCACGGCTCGCTCGGCGCCAGATCTTGTGCTTGTGGAATGAAGCACGGCCTACTTTCAGGGCAGCTCATGAAGTCGAAGCGCTGCAGGCGCGGATCGCGGCCTAGAGCGACAGCTCCAAGCAACTACCTATCATTTCATTGTGACATGAACAGGATCGGCACAGAGTCCATGTGATTATTCAGACTGAGAGTTGCCATCCAGGTATGGGATCTGACTCGGCCGAGGGATCACAAACAACTAATAAGGATCAAAACCAAATCCAAGTCTGGGGTCGAAAACACATCAAAATAGGGATCAAACAAACCGGCAAGGGTGTACTCAAGATTTTTCAACTGTTGGATCAAACCAAAATCAAACAGGTCTCAAAAAATCAAACAAGGATAATGCTCTGCTGTCCAACCAGCATCGAGGCATTGTGGGACGTTGATGCTGGGGGAAACTTGTTTTCTTGGTTAGGGGCTTTGCGGGGAGGGAGAAAGAGAGAGAGAGAGAGAGAGAGACTCTGCCAGCGGCAGGTTGGTTTGGGCTGCAGCAGTACTGGCCGCAGCAGTGTGCATCTGCAGAGTCCAAAATGGCAGTAACAGCAGAGGCAACAGGTATTAACAGCAAGAGCGACGGCACGAAATGACGATAATCACATTTAAAATACCAATCGAAAAACCATAACAGGAATAATGCTTGTAGGAAACTCAATTCAATGAACATATTCACAAAGAATAATGTTAATGATTGTAGCCATCAGCATCGTCAGTATCATCAAAAGCATCATCACCACCATCGTTACCATCATCGTCATAGCCATAGTCATACCAACAGTGATCGTATACAGCCGTAGCAATAATGAACATGTTCATTGTTGCTGTTCTCGATGCTACTAGACTAAGCGTGATAAAGATCAATCTTAACAGTGACAGTAACAGGAACAGTAAACGTAAGGGCGATAGAGTCACTCTAGCCGAACATCAAACGACTAGGAGCCGTTCTGAATTATGGCCCCCTTGTTTGATTGTTGTTTGATGCCTATCCCATCTGACTCAAAGCTAAGCACAGGACTGCGCGGATTGGAAGCCAAAAACACCGAATTGTTCCTTGCAGCATCGAGCTGATGTGCCAGATTCTGCTACACATGGCATGGCTACCCTCAGGCAATAGCAGACTAACAGGTAAGCTGGCAAACTCTACTGGCAATGCTGACCCCAACCGCTCTCGAGCTCAGATCGCAAGCTTGAGTCAAAGATCAAGTCCCTTTGGATCTTGTCCGGCGCGTGAGGCATCTCCTGCCACGCTCACTGGAAAAAGAGCAGGAGCTGCGCCTAGCAACCGTTACCATTCGCGATGCGCCAAGCAACCGTTACCATTCGCGACTTGTGGGTAAGGATTGTGATGGAATGCAGTCCTTTTAGATTCGAGTGCTGAGATGAAGATGCATGCAATCTCGGAGCTGACCGGAAGACTTAACTGCAGCGTCACTGGTGTTCACGATCTCCTAACTAGTGTTGTGCCGACAGGCCAAGAGATCCCATAATGTAACAGCAAGCATGCCCGTACGCGTAGAATCTGGGTCGCTCACGATAACGGCTTCTCGTCTGCTCAGCCTTGCAAGCGCCAAATGCTACGTAGCGGCTAGCATTTGTCAACCAAGGCATGCCATTGCGCGACTGTCACTGACTGTGCCCCAAGACATCCAAGACTCTAAGCTGATCTCGAGCTTTCGGTGTTGCTTTTATTTGCCGATGTGCCTGCCTTCGCAAATTGCATGGGGGGCCAACTCCCAGCAGCTCGCAATATCGCAAGGACCACCCAGGGGCAACCTTCGCGCTGTGCTTGGCCGAGTGTCTTACAGTATTACAAGCACGAGAATGCACGACTCGACAGAGCATAAATGCTCCTCCGCTGTCGCAGCGACTGCCATGCGTGACACTCATCAACATCTGCTCATTTTAGAAGTTGGAACCCTGCTACAGGTAGAAAAATGTCTTCTGGCTGTACCTGTCCGCCCATTGCTACCTACAGTCTATGTCTATGCAAGATCTGGTTGACTCATACTGACTCCCTAAAGAAGCCTGCTCATTCAGCGGTCGGAGATGCAGCCGCTTCGATGAGGGGCGTGTTGACAGGCTGTCCTTTCTCTCAGCCAAAGCGTTTCTCTGACAACTGACGCCACTGAAGTTGGAAACTTCCGGTCGCAATGACAGAGTCTGAGCGAAGTGTCAGACAGTTGTAGCTTGCCACAACCTGGCAGTCGAGCAGGCATGAAAGTGGAACCTCGTCGCAACTACCGCGCCGGCACATGTGCCCGTGTCGCAGGGCCGTGCGTGTCAGCACTAACTGCTGGAACTGAATGACTTGGCAGACAGATTTGTATCAATGGGCGGTCTGCGATGTACTTGGAGAAATCTCCAAGCGACATTGTGAAGAAAGATTGAATGCAACGCCCTTTCGATTAATCTTACCCGGTCTTACGTCTAAGAGTCTAAGTCTTTCGGATGAAAATCGGGAGTGTCACGCGACCCAGCAGCCCGATTACCGCCCAGACGCTGCAGCATCTTTAAGTTCGCAGCTGCGCGGCCCCATGCTGCCCCCTTGTACGCAACACAGGCAACAGACTCAACAGGCCCAGGTGGCTGCTACGTGTGCTCAAAGAGCTCGAGATGCGGGAGTCGTGCCACGTCTGCCACGTCGAGCTCAAAGTGCTTCGACCTGCAAATGTTGTCTGGCTACCTGTCCCTGCTGGCTTGAATGCGAAGTTGTTACAAAAACCTGGCAAGAATTCTCTTCAAGCATCTGGACGAGCCTGCAGCTTCGAGAGACTTGTCGAAGCTGCATTCTGTGCCTTGGCATGCTGGAGTGTGCGAGCGTATGTCAGCGTGCCAGTGTTCTTGCTGCAATTGCTGTGCCTGCAAAACGTTGAAAGCTTGCAGACCCTGCTACCACAAAGTTGTTTGCTACAGTAGTTGCATCGTGTGCTTATTCGTGCACAACGCCAGACACATAAAGACAAACCGTGGAGACAGCCCAGCAAGGCACAGTCTCCCAAATTGCTGGCAGGTTGCGATCCAGGGTCAAAAGCCGAGCCCTGAGTTAAGCGGTTAAATGGACAATGCCCAACCCGGATTCTTGTTGCTACCACACAAATATAGGCGGCACTCTGAGCAGCTCGGTTTGCAAATTCCTTTCGAAGCAGGCTGGGCCCGGAGCCAGGCGGCAGGACGTCTGGTCCAAGCATCCTTTCGGGGGACATTGTCTTGTGCCCACCGGGCGTTCACTGTCGGCGTCATCTATGGGGCACCAGGTAAAGCCGGTCCTGGAGATTTTGAACCAGCTCTTGCGCCGAGGGCCTTAGAGATACGGTCTCGGGGTAAAGAATGAGAATGGCCTGCTCGTAATTTCCTACGTGCCTGCGCAGGCGCCTGCAGCTCAGTCTTACACTGAGGAGCAGCATCACAACGAGTGGAAAGCAGCGAAGGACTGGGGCTTCAAACTCGTCTTCGAAGCTCTTGCTGACCTTGTGCAGCCAGCTTCAGGCCAGGTGCCGGAAGACTCCCGTCTAATATAATGAATAAACATGGCCAGGACGTGTCAGGACCATCGGCCCGAATGCAGAGGGTCACGAAAGACAAGAGTCTTGCAAAGCAAAACACAGAATCTGGTCTAGGCTCAAGCTCCCCACATGCTGTGGCTGTGTCAATCCTTTTCCACTTCCTTTTCCTAACTGGTCGTTTTTCTCCCGAAAAAATTGAAAATGCGACTTCACATATCTAGTACTGCCTCTATATCACGAACCCTGTCGTGAAAAGTTGCACTTAGTCCGCCGCACTGTGCCTCCGCCGAAAGCTGCTAAAGGCGAGCCTGCAACGGGGAACTAACTTCAGTCGCCTTGCGGCCGGCAGCCAAGAAGCCTTAAAATGTATCTAGCATGCACAAGCATGATAATGCAACAAAGACTGTGCAGATGCACTGGCAGCGCACCACAACTCTCTTGCCACTATCATGCAAAGTCTCGAACGTTAAGGTTCTGCTTGTGAAACTGCCCTGACGAATGCGTGATGTCTTGGAACCAGCGGACCAGAAAAAGTGAAGGCAGCTTTTCGGAAGTCGTGGCCTTAATCTCTTCGGCTGGCGTGGCTGCAACTAGTCAAGGGCTGCCGGCAAAGCTCCCGGTGAACCCCAGCGATTCTCATAAAGAGTGCTACCAATCAGAACTATAACTTAGGTACCCCCGCTTCTCCATTCTACGTTTTAAGGCCCGGTGGTCTTGTGTCAATACAACTAGCTAAGATGCCCACAGACCGTCCTTCGTTGCCATCCGTGCCCAGCCTTGGAGTTTCCTGTTTGAGTGTCTCACAGTGCCCGCTGAAGACAGCCAACATGCTGGTAAACTACGGTTGGACCCACTTGCCTCTTCGGGTTTGGCCGGGGTCGCTCCCGGCGCAGCAAATCCATCCGCCCGAGACACCATCCTGAGACCAAAGTCTGGGATGGGAAGCCTTTCCGTCAAGGCTTGCAGAATCCAGACTCACACCCCGCCTCCCGCCGCCCCGAAGACCGTCAGCAGGCTCAGCCAGATGGCTAGCCGGAAAGCCGGTATCAAATCCACAAGTCCCGATGCTTCCGCAAGCCGTCTCTCAACAGTTCCCACGTGCTAACGAGACGGCAGGCATGGAACATCAACTGCGTAAAAAATACAAGGACTGCAGTTTCAAGCCCACGGCCAGAAGATTCAGCAGTGTCTCTTGGCCGTCAGTCCTCATTGCAGCTCTGAGTCTCAAGCATGCAGAAAGTGAACCTTCGCTTCGTGCTACTTGCAGCCCCGGGGCTAGGATGAGCTATGATAGAATCTGTTTCAGATGGCACCTCCAGGCTCGAGGCGTGTCCGCGATTGCTTCAGGGCCACCTGGCGGCACTTTACTGGTACAGTCTCGGATATCATGGACCTCTGGCTCAAGCAAGCTACTCGACAGCCTTCTGGCTGCAGCTGAACATCCAGCGGATAAAGAGCTGCAAGCCAGGAGATAGGCATGTAACCTCACAAGGGGCCGTCAAGCGATGACTACAACAGGCATGCCGTCGTCACAACTTGCTTCCACCAGTGCCATGCCCAAGCGTGTTCCTGCTTCCCAGTTGAAACTCAACGGTGAAGTCAACCAATCCTGTAGCAAATGCTCTGCCTCCACTCCCTGTCGGCGTCAAGCCAAGTGATGATGCCGCTCTCAGACGGTCTCGCGCGGCCAGAAGTCAAAGAGTGGGTTGGCGGTTGACTGTCATCTGATGTTTGCAAGCGCGCTGAAGTTTGAATCAAAGCCCTGACACACACAAGTTCGAGTTGAACTTACTTTTCGGCAAACAGGCATGTGTCCAAAGACTGATAACCTTGACATATCATGATTCTCGTCAGTGTGTACACGACATGGCCCATCGCTTGTGTACCATGCTTATGTGAAAAACTGCAACACTCTTCCGGTCACATGAGAGAGTTCACCTGGCTGGGGTCCACGGTAAACCCGGAGCTGGTCCTGCGACATGGGCAAACATGTTGTCGGACGGAATTGCTGAAGAAGCACCGGAGTGTGCAGCCGAACAAGCTAGACAAACACAGGCTTGATAGAAGCTTCATGACGACATGGCACAGCGAATCCTGGGAAACGTAGGAGATCTTGCCTGGAAGCCCCATTGCCTTTGATCTTGGCAGCGAGCTTCTTGGCATGTTCTACAGCTCCAAATATGTCCGCTCTCGGCACTTCTGCTTTCGCGGAGAGCACCTACACACCGGAACGACGAGGTCCGTGCCTGAGAAAGTCCACAAGCAAGGCCCCCGCATCACTCCGGAGGACGTCGGCTTGCGGGAGCTGCCCTGAAAAAAAACATTTTCACAACGATTGGAGTCGTTGGGCTTTCCGATCAGTGGCATGCCGCTAGCCAGACCTTTGCTCTCTTTCCATTTTTCTGCTATTCCGATTTCACTGCAAGCGGCGACGGGGCTAGCTGCTAGCTTCTGCGAGGAAGATGCCAGCTTCGTATTTTGAGATGCGATGTGCTCGTGAACGCCGTGTCGGTACTTGCAAGGTGACAGCATCGTCGTGCCCGACTGCCTACTGCACTGGCACGGCCAAAGCACTTGCAGGCTACATCCCCGCCTTGCCTCGAAGCCTCCTGAGAACCCTCCTCGAAAGCCTTCCCATCTGCGCGAGATGGGAAGATGACTTCGCCAAAAACGCATCAATCTCGAATCTTGGCCCCAAACAAACCACGTTGAAGTGTTGAACTCGTTTCGAGATCTACTTGGTTCTACACCTTTAATCTAGAAACTGCGCACGAACTGCCAGTGCCTGCCAGTGCTGCCAACAAACAGTGGGGACTGGAGGTCCACCTTCGTTTCCGCAGCTTATTGGGAGAATCGAGACATCTGAGCACTCTCCGTCAGGGGCGTGTTCCGGCATCACTGCATGCTGCAGGTACCAGATGTCCGCTCAACCATACCACGGATGGCTACTGACGTTCTCAGCCTCGTGCTCCTCGGGCAAGCTCTGTCGGCGAAGCGCCAGTCTGTGCACTCAGAGTTCAGGTTTCGTCTTCTGTTTCGCCAGGCCGAAGACCGTGGTGTGAAGCGAAACACATGCACGGTTGTGGTCGGCTGTCCATGCTCAATGAACCATCCAAACCACACTTCGTTCAGATACAAACACTGCGATGAACATGCCCAGTAATCTGGAACAGGCTTGCAACGAGCAGAAACTCTTTGGTCCCGACATCTTCGGGTTTGGCTTGCGGTCCCAGCCAACCACTACGCTGAGTGTGCCATCCGCTACATTCACCACGATCCTTGGAGCAAACTCATATGCTGGACATGAGCAGGCGAACTCATTAAGCCAAAGAGCTGTCCAACGCGGAACAAAATGCCAGACCGGTCCTCGGCAAAGATCTACTGGTCTGAGAGCTGCACGTTTTTCAAGCTTCCTAGGGACTGATGCTATCTCATGACTGCTAAGCCAAGCTATGCAGCTAAACTATCTCCTACATACATCGGGCAGTGCAGCTGGAACACTCTTCGAGGCGGCGCTGCCTCGACCGCTCTGCTGTCGGCCTGGGAAGGCTGCTGTCTTTGTGGCCCTTGCAGACTCTTCTAACCGACCTGGCTTGGAAGCTCAATGCTGCCGAAGCGCCTGGTCAAAGGTCTTTGCTTCCCCCGGCACAGAAGGGTGCTGTGGGTGACTGCCCTGGCGTCCGTTGGCAATTGTGCGGTTTGATCCACCACTAACTAGAACGGACAGCACACCTCCCAACCTTCAGCGATTTGACTTCCATGTGCAACTCAGCCCATGTGTGGCCAGGCGACAGATGTTGACAACACCACCATTGAGCGAATGGCCTCTACTTCCTCGTTCCTGCCGCCTCGCTTGCAGTGAATCGCTCGCCTCTCCTGGTGCGAAAAGGCCATCGTCTGAGCGCTGCTCGTGCTCGGGATTTCTACCAGGCCTCCGCTGGAGGCGGCCGCAAACGAGGGTCTGCACAAAGAAGGAGGGTCGCAACCCAAGCCACCCAGCGGCAGCCTTCATGCAGGTACCATCAGAAAGATGCACGCGAATGGCAAGCTAGGAAATGCGACAACTGGGATGGTGTGTATCTGAGTTGCCCCTTGGACAAACAAGTCACCCTGCGGTCGTTCTACGGCGATCAGGGCGCTGTGCCCGCCAGCAGTGTCCTGGCTCGATGTCTTGCTGTGGTCAACCCATGCAACAACACTTGGCATGCTCAGGCTGAAGAGCTGTCGTCATCTTCTCACTCTGCTCGCAGACAGCACAAGGTCAGAGGCAAAGATCGGCCCCTGCGCACCGGTGCAGAGCTCAGCCAATTCGCTGGGCAAATAAACCTGCACCGTTGCTGAGAAGCCTATGCCCTGACATCACCGCACGACATGACAAGGTCTTCAGCGGGCTGTGGCATGACATCGAACTTTCTGCGACACTGCGAGCTTACAAGGCTGCCCTGGTGAGCCTGGCAGCCTGCTAGCTGGCAGCTGCGAGGGAACCCTCGTTGTGCATTTCTCCCTCGCGCCGAGTGTCGCAAGCTTTGCAAGCGCTGAGTCTCAACATCACCCAGAAGGACAAGTGCCTGTTGCCAGCCTGCCCCTACCTCGCAAGCCTTCACAGCACTTTGATAGGTGATGACATCACTTTCGAGTCGTCTTTCGCAAAGCTCGAAAAGCAAAAAGACGGCCTGCTGCCACTCTGCGTACTGTTGGCAAGCGCTGATACTGGAATTGTACGTGATGGTATCGACCTCACATCTCATGGCGCTGATGTCATGCAGCAAGGATGAGGCCAGCTGCCATTCTCCCGAGTGACAGGCACTGATGGCTGAGTTGTAAGCGATCTCATCTGCTTGAAGTAGTTGTGAAGCACAGAGGCTCAAAAGAATCAAAGCTTGAAGCCACTGAGCGTCATTCTCGCAGGCGCTGATGACGCCACTGTACGTTATAACATCTGGCGACAAACGAGCTTGGACAACTTGGCCTAAGAGATGTAATGCGGGCCTCCACTCCGCCGCCTTCTCGCAGGCACTAGTGGTTGAGTTGCACGTCACCAGGCTTGGCCGCGCGGTGGATCCAAAAATATCGCAGGAGTATCTCCACTTCATTGCCCGTCCGCATGCGCTTATCGATGCGTTTGATGTGACTACATCGGGCCTCAGGCCGTTGAGCCACAGCTTGACGGACAACAGAAGAGCGTGTTGCCAGGCACCTGCCTTCTCGCAACTGCTAATTGCTGCATTCGTGGCAGCCACGGCAGCTCCCGGCATTTGCCGCAGTAGAAACAATGCCCATTGCCACTCTGCCCCTCCCTCACAGGCACTGATTGCTGAGATGTATGTGATTAGATTTGGCTGTACTCTTACATGCTGCATGTTCTGCAGCAGCATTAGAGCTTGTGGCCAAGCCGAGCTTCGGCTGCAAGCATTGATGGCTGCACTGAATGTTACAACGTTTGGTTGTAATGCAATTTTTTCACACTCCACGAGGAGCAGCAAGGCTAGCTTCCACTGGTCATGCTTGCAAGCACTGATTGTGCAGTTGTAGGTAATGATATCACGCTCTAGATCAGCCCGGCTCATGCAAGCGAGTATTGCAACAGCTTGTTGCCATGCCGAACCTTTCTCACAGGCACTCAACGTGGAATCGTATGTAATCAAATCTGGCTGCACATGACAGGCATGCACACTGGCCAGGACGACAAGGGCATGCTGCCACTTGCCTGCTTTCTCAAAGGCACTAATGGTGGCATTGAAAGAAATTGTGTCAGGCTGCAAACGCACTTCGTTGATTTGGACAAACATAGCCAAGGCCTCCATCCATGCAGAGCCCTTTTCACAGGCACTGATCGTGGAGTTGAACGTGATGACGTCTGGCTGGAGTGCAGCTCGGTCCATCTCATGAAAAAACTGAAGGGCCGTTTGCCACCTACCAACAGCCTCGCTCGTGCTTATGGAAGAGTTGTACGTCACCACGTCCACTTGTAAGCCCAGTGCCTTGATCTGAGTCACAAGCACCAAAGCCCGCTGCCAATCCCGGCAGCGTCGACAAGCAGAAATGGCCTTGTTGTATTCGACAATGGTGTTCCGTTCCGGAACCACGGCAAATTCCATGGCATTCTGGAGTAGTTGCAGTAAATTTCAGCGCTGTTTGAAACTTGGCGGCAAACGTATGTGGATACCGTAGATTGTATCTGTACGCTCGTATGTATGTCTGTATGTATGTATGTATGTATGTATGTATATATGTATGTATGTATGTACATGTACATGTAATCTGTATGTCAGTGCATGTCTATGTATGTGCATGTGTATGTGTATGTGTGTATGTATGTATGTATGTATGTATGTATGTAAGTAAGTAAGTAAGTAAGTATGTATGTATGTATGTATGTATGTCTGTGTGTCTGTCTGTGTGTCTGTGTGTGTGTCTGTCTGTGTGTCTGTGTGTCTGTGTGTCTGTGTGTCTGTGTGTCTGTGTGTCTGTCTGTGTGTCTGTCTGTGTGTGTCTGTCTGTGTGTGTGTCTGTGTGTGTGTCTGTGTGTCTGTCTGTGTGTCTGTCTGTGTGTCTGTCTGTGTGTGTGTCTGTGTGTNNCTGTCAGTCAGTCAGTCAGTCAGTCTGTCTGTCTGTCTGTCTGTCTGTCTGTCTGTCTCTGTTTGTATACATGCATGTATGTTTACCGGTGTATATATATATGCATATACGCACATATGTGTCAGTATATGTGTACATATATATATATCAGTGTGCATACACATATATGTGGTTTAAGTAACTACAAACATCTAGATATATCTAGGTATACGATGTATATATATATACATATATATATATAGCTATGTTCGCACGTGTAGGTTCATATGATGTATATCTCGATATTACAAAAAATCAAAAAGCATGCCTGTATGTATGCAGGTAAGTATGTACGTACGAATGTATGGATGCACTGATGTACGCTGTACACAGAATGTGTGTTGCTTACTTTGCATTAGACTCTAGATATAATATACTTTAAATTGCACTTATACTTATAATCATGTTCACACTCCACGGTCTCTGTGTCTGACCAAGTACACTTAATGGCTAAGTCCCCTGACCCTGGAAGCAGTCGATTTCCCGCAAGACTTCGAAACGCTCATGCTTGCATGCAAGGGCGACGCGCCTCAAGAGCACCTGATGGCGCTCCGTGCCGTTCGAGGTTCGGCAAACCTGCGGCATCGCAGACAGGAGGAGTTTGGGGTTTGACCGGAACACAAGTTTGGGCCTCACCGCTCTGCAGCGTGAGCTCCGCCGCCGCCCTGGGGCCCGCACCCCGAGGCTTCGGGGCGAGGGCCTCTGCAAGCCTTCCAGTGCCAGGCAGTCGGCCAATGGCAGGGATAATCGCAAACGAAAGAAAGCTCTAGGAAAGGTATGTTTGCTGTCTTGGGGTTGAGGGGCTTGCAGATTTAAGCGGTCTTTAGGGTCTGTTACGGAGCAGCTGCGATAAATTAAAATCCATATTGCCACACACTTGCGGCCAGACTGCAAATTATCCCTTCCAAAGACTTCGCCCCTCACCGCGAAATCCTAAATTCGTGAAGCCCAAAAAACCCTAGACCTTGAAGCCTCAAATCCGTGACTCTGATATGGCTAGAAGCGGTGCCGGCACCGCCGCCGATGCAACAGAGGCTGGATCTGCTCCTGGGGTGCCTTGGCAAAGCATGTCAACGAACAAGCTTTCGATCTGAGATTCCAGCAGCGACTAGCAGCCTGCGCTTCCTCTGAGTTTGCAACTGTCAACCACGGCTTGCCCTGGCACTGCAGGCTCGGCTGGCACAAAGCCCACCTGACGAAAGCTGGGAAGTCTTGTTGTGCGGGTTTGCTACAGTGGCGTGTTATGATGGTTTTCCTCCTGCTCTTTTGCATGACATCCGGTATGTCGCCTCGTTCACGGCCGGGCCACCAAGGAAGCTGAAGGCCTCGACACCCAAGAACGAATAGGGCGAACACACATTCCTGAAATCCTCGCATCTGCTGCCTAGCATGTAAGTTACCAAGCAGGCCCTTTCCAGAGGCTCGAATCAGTTGGTGAAAGCTCTTGAAAGACTCCCTGCGCCTGTGGACTTTGCACAGGCGAGCGGCTGAGGTTGACCTCGCATGAATTGTGGTTCTCACAGTGCTTCAAGCAAGCTTTAGCAGCAAAACCTGCACTAGCTGATCACGATTCTGCTTTTTTGCTCCCACGTACCAGTATCGATGCCCCATGCCTGCGTCAGGTTGCCATCGAAGCACAAACGAAAGTCCCAGCGCCCACGCCGCATCACAAGGCACGGTGGCTCCTGGGGTTTACGGAGGTGAACTTGGATGTTATGCCTACCATAAACCCACCGGATCACCAAACCCCTGCTGACATGCAGGAGCGTAGGATAGCCTAGGCGTGCACAAAAAACCAAGAAACTCGCGACGCAAACGAAGTGCACCGTCTATACAACGCGTTCGGGCCGGCGAGCTGTCATTTGCCCAAGCCAAGATCTGCTGCTTAGGCGCCAGTCCGTGCAGCGGTGCGGCCAGCCAATGGAATGCCTCTGTTGAAGACCTTGCCACGATGCTTCCCACGTCATGACGACTCGTGCGGTCCTACCCGACCCCGACGTCACGAGCAAAGATCGGCGAAGCACATCGGGGTGGCATCTGGACGACGAAGCGGGCAGCAGCCTTGGGTAGCACACCAGCTACGCGCAACTGAATGCCTGTGACACCCTACTTGCTGCATCAGCTCTTGCATGAGACAACTGTATCAACCCCACATGCTGATTCCAGTCTTGTGGACGTATGGCATGATCCTGGAAAACTCCTGCTCATCATCTTGCGCACACCCCGTCGGTGGACAAAGATAGAAAGGAATTCAAGAGCATTGCACATTCTCGCACTGTTCGAGATGCCAGCAACACAACACGTTGAACATAGCTCTTCCATACGAGGAACTGGGAAGCTGAATGTCCAGCGACTGGTTGCCGTCTGCAGCAGGATGTGAAGATCAGAAGGGATTCAATGCTGCAGGTGTTACAGTGTTTTCGCTTCCAAAGAAAAGCCTGACCGTTCGCTTGCAGGTTCTTAGAGTTCTTGAGTCTGGTTACTTGAGAGCCGGTGGCTATCCGGTGTGGTGTCTGCAACTACTGCTGGAAACGATACAGCCCCACTGGACCATTGGAATCAGCCTGCATCTCCTGTCCAAGACGTCATTGACGGGCCTGCCACCAGGCTGGTAATGAGCTGCGCGGAGATTGTCGGGTCATGTGTTTTGATGGAACGTATGCGAGTCAGTTCGGCTAAACATGAATTCCGTTGCTGTATAATCATATGTCGAATTGTAGGCCGCTTCCAAAGCATCACATCCTGCCAGCCTGCTTTCCGCCTAAATCCCAGTGACTCCTCAAGCGTGGTCACTCTAAATCTTTTCAGGTGAAATGCCGCTGCATCAGTCCTTCTCCGCAATGACAGCGCACCGCCATCTCTCTGTGAGCAAAGCCGTTCCTTCGAGTGCTAGTGTCTTCTCTGATTGAACACCAGAATTAGGTGCTATGATCGATCCTGCGTGGATTAAGCATCCAACTTCCTTGCCGGTGCCTTTTCTGCTGCAATGTCATGTTGCTGCAAATTGCAGCTCAGTCTCACGTAGTGCAGGGTGACCGAGCCATTCGCATGGTATTGGTCAAAACTCTCGTTGTACCAACCTGCATTGCTACATCACCATGCCAGCTCCACTACGATAGCCGCAGAGACTCTCAATGCAAGGACCATATCCTGAAACTATGAATGGTGAGTTTGTTGTAGATCCTCCGTGCACCGTAACGCTCCAGTCCCAAAGGCAAAACTCACATCGACTCAATGCAGCTGCAAACAGCACGCATCAGAAGTCAACATGCAAGCGCGAACGTAATACGGAATGCGGCTTTGTTTGGCTACTCCGTGTTGCACCCCGGCCTAGCTCCAGGCGGTCCAACCAAGGCGCCGGTGCCACTGCAACAGCTTCCGTTGAGAAACACACACCTTCCACAATGTGTCTATGCTTCGAGAAATCGCTGGGAAAGCCAATCCCAGCATTCTGCAGTTGTGGAACCGTGGAACCTGCTGCTCTCGGGACCAATCGGCTAGGTTTAAACCAAAACTTTGTGAGCCACCCAAACAGGCCTCGGGTGAATGCCATGATGTTGCAACTTCAACCAAGTCTCAAATTGACACACTCATCTGCATGTGAAGCACAAGACGTCACGACTCAACGAGTCTATAAGTTATAGGTTCGCCGTCTGCCAAGTTGCGGTACACCCACGGGATTGTCGACGTGCTGAGACTCTCCTGGGCATGGCACAAGGTCAACGCACTCCAGGAGTGTATATTGGCACACAAACACGCGCTCTGTTCGTCTTGGCAATGCGATAACATATGAGATGGCCTGCTTATCCACAAGCTCAGCGCTACGTCTGACCAGAAAATCAAGAAATGTTGAGCCTCCTCTGTTCTGCGCCATGAATGGCATCGATGGCGCAGGGGCGCCCAGCGAGCCTGATGGTTGCAGCTCGCCGTTGGCGCTTCGTTGCGTTGTAGCTGAAATAGGTTCGGGACCAGCGATATTCTGGAGTTCGGCATAAAGCGTGTAACACGAGTTCAAAAAAGTTACCCGCAAGGTGTGCGGACGTGCTTAGCAGGTGCGAAGCGCTGTTGAATTTAATGTCCGTGCCCGCATGACGAAAGCGCTGGAACAATTATCCTATGTCATGGATTGTGGTTGATTCTGGGTGTGGACAGGGTTGGATTGCCACACAGTGATCTCAGATTCTGAGCACCTTTGAATGCTGCGAGGTTGCCAAGCGCGCAACGCGCTCTGCAGCATCGCGGCGGCCAAGGTCTGGTGCAGGTAGCTCACAGACCGCCTGGGCAACTGATCGCAATTTGTCGGACACGAGCTCACTGCTTCTTTGCCGGGGCACGTCTCGCGAACCGAGCCGGACGTGATGGCTCCACAATGGCTCTGATGGTGTCTCTCCTTGGAGGCACGAGTGCGACCGACTCACTCCGACCACGTCTGATAATGTTGGCGAGCATGGAAAACAAAGACTATTCCCGGGCACGGGCATTCTTGCTGCAAATGGTGGCTATGCATAGCGCCCGCAAAACTACTCGCGCTATCCGCGGCAGAGTACCTGCGGTTGACAGGCCGGGGCTTGTCGCTGCTGTCGTGAATCGCACTTGCTAGTCTACGCATGGCCGTGCAAGAGCCTGCTGCAATCAAGCTCATGCTGAACTGTCGTCGGCCGCAATCGAATTTGTGCATTGCGGGTCGGGCGAGAGAATTTGTGTGGTCGAGAATGCCACAGTTCATATCAGGGAAGCGATTTCTCTCCAGGCACCAGTCGCATAACATAGGCAATGGTAACACCGAAAACTAGCTGCCGTCAATCTGCTTGCTGGGGTACTTCAAGGCTCCTGCACTGCATGCTACTGCAGCGGTTCCCGTAAACTACACTACACGTTCAATACCGCGGCCATAATCGTGCCGTGCATCTCCTCTCCTCGTCCACGAGGACGGCATGCCTGGGCGAAACAAGCTCGCAGCTTAAATAACGGACCCAAGGCAACAGAATGTGGACTGCCGCAACTGCACTGGATAAGGCCACGCCTGACAAGTCCACCAATGAAAAGCCTGGACCCGCACACCCGGGTGAGTAGAAACAAACCAAAAGTCTGAAAGTGAGATGGCATTCTGCTGACAGCAAATGTGTTGAGGGGTCAGGGTCGGGGACCGCCCTCCACGTGGACATTATGCAGTGTGATCGGACGCCAAACTCAAAGCGTTCTTGATGTTAATCGGGAGAGAAAGCTCCGAGAAAGCATTAACTCCAGCGCTTTTCTTAGGCCTGGACGGAGCTCGTGTAAGCAACTGCCGCCAGTCACCGTTGCAAAGAGCCAGGAGCAGTGCATGCAATGCGCAAGGCACAACACGCATCGATGAATGGAGTGGTCAGAGATGCTAGAACAGCTAACGAAACTGATCGTGATTTTCGATGTTCTGGCACCCTCTCTGACTGCACAATCCTTTGGTAGAACCTGGGACTGCATTCCAGTCACTTTGGACTGGCTTTACTGCCTTCAGATCCAAAGATAACACGGCAATCAATTCGTGGATGCCGAACGTGCCTGGCAATGCCTATTATAGTCCAGGCTGGCCTGGAACCCCCAAACAAAAACCCACGACATACGACCACACAAAAAAAGTAGAATCCCACAGCCACCTCACCCCCACCCTAACTGATCCAAACTTACAAGGGTCGACGTGATTCGAACGGAGTGTTTGCAGTCTGTGGGATTGCCGTGGGCCTGGCATGGCACTGCGACTTTTTGCTCATGCTGCGAGCTTCGACCTCCAGCCAGCTCCCCGTGGTGCAGAGGCCTCCCAGTCTCTCTCTCCGCGCTGAGCGCAGCATGCGCAACGCAAAGCCAAGGAGTCTGTTGGGGACTTTGGGACTTTGAAGATTTTGAAGCATGGCTCTGGCTTGAACTCGCTTCCCCAAGCCTCGCGAAGGAAGCGCAGAACAGGATGGTCTGGCCTGATATCGCTACGTTGAGTTATCGACCATGGCTGCAATGCGTATGCAAGGATGCAAAGCTGAGCAAAACACTGCTTCTTGGCAAATGCCTGTATTGCAATGTCGTATGCCGTGTCCTTGCCGAGACTTCAGAATGCTGTCCGATCAAGCCCCGGTCTCGCAGTCCTGCAGGTTGTTGCGAGCATCGAGGTTTGCACCATTATCCACGAGGTACCTGCGAGGGCCGAGGTGCGCGTTGAATGGAACAAGCCATGACACGGGGCACTCGACGCACTCAATGCTGCCAGCGAATGCAGCGTACATCAAAGGTGTCCAAAGGCCGCAGTCCTGGATCACCCCTCCGGCTAGATGCCTACAGCTGCTCACATGGTCCCAACTCCGCACCATGTCATGTAGCATAGCCCAAGCATCAGGGATTGGCAGAACGGCAGTAGGATGAAGCAAAAGACCTTCTAACTTGAGCGCGATCATGCCTTTGGCTTCCTACCCGACCTAAATGTTGCGTCGTTCTTGATTCTTGCAGCACCGGATGCAGAACCATGCTCAAATGGTGAAGGCAAGCGATTATTCATCTATTTAGTTGTGCTGGGATGGCATGCTGCAAACGAACCCCAGCAGCTCTACCCGTAGACGGCAGCAGGCTCAAATTTAGATGGCTGGAGTCGTTGGCGGTAGCAAGCAAAGCCGGTGCGTGGAGGGAGGCAAAGCGTGAGTGTGCGAGCGGAACTTTGTCAAAAAGCTCGGTCAGTGGAGTGAGGGAGGCTGGGCGAGGGAGCGAGGGAGGGAGTGAGCGAGGCAGTGCGGGAGGGAGCATGAGGGCCCATGGTGGGTGACAAACAAAACAGGTGACTAGGCTGTGTGGGAAAGTAAGTGAGCGACTGAGTAGGTGCGTGCACGGAGTGACGAGGTGAGCGAATAGCTGGAGCAACCCCACACCGAACAAGTGAATATTGAGCGGATGAAATCTGAGCTCAGTCAGTCGGTGAATGGTGTGAGTTATTGAATCAAAAGGTGCCTGCACTTGCATTGCCACATTGTTAATTGCACCATGTACATTGTTTTGGGCAACAGTGTGCCAGCGATTCCCTGCTTGCAGCACTATTGCTGCAAGCCCCACAAACTGAACCCGAGTCTGTCGCAACTGCAAACGTGTTGAACGAAACTGGAATAAGCTCCAGCCTCAATCAGTACTACTGTCTAACGTGATGACACACCCTGTCCTTGCAATTGACGTCACTGTCTGGGTCTTCCAAGGCATCGGCAAGAGCCTCGGTGCCAACGTACAATGATCACGCCGACCTCTGTTTACCGCGCTGTACTATGTGCGCAAACTTATGACAAGCTGATGCTTTGCAGCACCCACAGCAACCTGGCTTCAGCTTCACAGGGTCTCCCGGCAACAACATCAGGTTCTGCCGCCGCCACGAGTACATCGGCCTGAGCTCAGCGTGCATCGCGAAGTTTAGGGTCCAAAGCTAAGCGGATGGCTAGTGCCAATAATGGTGCATTTCCCTATTTTGGCTCTTGGCCTGAACTGTGGCTGCAGCATTTGCTGTGGGATACTCCGGGACGTCTGGAAACTTGCCTTCGTAAACCTGACACTGGCTCATCAAACCAGCAACAGCACGATGACGAAACTGACAATTGATTCAAGTTGTCGGCCCACACGTAGCTTACGACATCTTACCACCTACAATAGCAACAGCTACAAACAAGTTGCCTGGATCACATCTGCAGCCGTGCCTCCACGCTTTCTTCGTAATCTAACTCCTCCACCTACCCAGATGTGCACTAACCATTTGGCGGATGTAAGGCTCACTTCAACTGACATGACACGCCTTGCGGCGGTACACTTCAATGAGGCGGCAAGTCTCTCGATTCCAAGCATCATACGCATCGAGGTAAACCTGACAGCGTAATTCGCACAACAAACGAACCGAATCACGACACAGCCGAAATGTAAATATCGAAGTCCAGCTCACCACCGTTGAGTCTACACTGGCCAGTACAGCGAATTTTGGCTCTTGCCTCCCATTGGGGCCTGCCGCGAGCCCACTCGGAATCATAATCCACCTGGTGTCCAATCACCATGGTCCCACGCAGCACAAGCACGAAGCAACCAGCACCGAGGAACGGACTGGAAACGGTTGCACACCCCAGTCATCCTGCAAAACGTGCAGCAATTATGTGACCGCCCTGCCCCCCCCCCCCGCTCTACCTACTCCCGACTGCCATGGTGCGCTCGATCGCGGTACTAGAAACTCACTTCGATCTATCGTGACGGACGCTTCACATAGAATGAATGTGAACTGCTGCCTTCATCGGGTATTGCGGACCTCAATGCATAACAACATGTGTGAACAGGGCTGTCACTCGGCTCGCACAGCATGCTTAAGCCCGGACGAGGCTGTCCATCTTCGTACAGCCACGGAAATAAGCAGTTGCTAGGATCCTCGGAGCATGCAAGTTGTTCCGGGATGCTTCACAGGAAGAATCAGAAATCCTACCGATCATCGAGGCTCGTGCCCTCCAGTTTCCCCACCAAAAGGTTTTCGCAGCTTCCTGCACGCGCGAGATCGTGGGTGGATGCATATTTTCTGTTGCTATGATGAAAGACTGGATCTCATCGAACCTCAACAGCTGGCCGCCATGATCCACAAGGGTGTGCTGCATGGAAGGCTATGACGGCCATGTAGGGCCATCATCCAGGCCTGGGACCACTCGTCGTCAGGCGGGATCTCCGCAGGACGTCGAGGCATTGCGCATGCCAGGCCCACTATGTGAGTTCCGATTTTGAAAGGCGGAGCTCGAATGTTTCAGGCACTTGCGATATGGAAATCGCTACTATCGCTTGATCTATGGGAGCATCTCCATCATCTCAGCCAAGCTTCGTCAGGCTTCACGATCCGGAATGGCAGGTCTCAAAACAATGAACCCCCGCATTTGTATGGACGAATCTGGGGCAACAAAAACGCGACTTGATGGTACGGCGGCTTTCAGTCTGTGACGTGGCCAGCTTCCGCTGAACCAGCACACGATTTGAGTTCACAGAACCTTGTTCTCAGCAGTCTGGGGCTATGCAAGTTGCTCTCTTTGTCAAGCCTGCGGAGGTCGCCTCAGCCTGGTTTCGGGCCGGGGAGTGGCTTTGCCACGCTTCTTGGCCGCGTGAAACACAAAAGGCAGGATCATGCTAGGATGCGAGGCCTAACACCTGCAGGCACCTCCTGATGGCTCAGAAGATCTCCAGCTCCATCCTCGCCACCAGAGACCGGAAAGGTGCTTCTAGTAGGTGGGAAGGGCCGAGCACGAAGACCCTTCTAGAGCACAGACGCACTCTGGGAGCTTGACCCGGCCGGCAGAGTGACGTAGAAATGATAGGCCTGCAACACCGCTCGTCTCGTGAGCTTGGGCCGTATGCAATTCCAACGATAGACTTTGCAGTGCCTAGCTCGGGTACAGGGTGGAATGCCAGAATGTGCCGTAGAAAAGGATGGGCAGCCGCAGCTATCCCTCTCCTCTGGCTTCTCAGGCGTGATCTCGGCGGCCAAAACCCACCTCGTGTTTGAGATCGACAGATATCGACAGCTGCCCGTCCCAGTCATCTAGGAAGAGCAGCACAAAGCGCCCGCATGAAATCATTACAATGACAACTCTATTGTCTTGTGCAATGTACTTTTGCTGCCAATTTGGAAAACCCCATCACGATTCCGGCAGACGGCATGCGCTGCCTCCGCCATGCGGCGCCCAGCCGGTTTTTTGTTTTCAGCGTGTTCTTGGGAGCGCTTCGAGGCTGACCCCACGCACATTCGTGTGGAGCATGTGAAACGGAATGACAAAGGCATGTCTTGGCGTCTCTTGGCTTTCAGCCCGGCGCGTGCTAATCTGCTATTCTTTCTGGCGAAACGCCCCCTCCAACAGTAGACTTTCAGCCTGGAGGGGAACAACAAACGACAAAAGATTCGTGTCTCACTTGCGTGAGTGCCACAGACAGGACCAGATGGTAGACAGGCTGCTGCAAAATCTCTGAAACGAAACCTGGGTCGACAGGTAGCGGTTGCACCGCTTGGGTTCTGTCAGCAATCCATGTTTCGCGTGAGATCTGCCTGTAACCAGCTCACTCCCGGTGCGAGACGACCTTTGCACGCGGCTGAGAGCTGCTTCTTGGTCACCCATCTAGCCCGCTGGACCGAAATTTGGGCCTGTAGTTGACACCATGGTGCCCATTGGTAACCTACACTACGAATTGAAAGATAGCTAAGAACACTTCCGTCAGAGTCTGCCGTCTTGCAGGAAGGTGCACAACTTCTTCCTCGTGCACCTACGGACTGTTCCGAGGTGCCACTTAGACATAGCTCATACATATATTTGGGAATCGATGACATCTTCACGGTGCAACTGCAAGAGGGCAACTGCGGCCTTGTCCTTCAAGCGGCACTGGGCTGCCAAGAGGTCCGCTTCCTTGGGGCAGCTCGAGGAGCCAGCTCCCAGGGTGGTGCAGGCAGTAAGTGCTAGGGCAACAATGAAGCCGCACGATCGCAGTTTCTCTTGGATCTACCTTACGTCTTGCCGCATCGAGTCGCCCTGAGCTAGAACCAACAGGCATAATGCCCATCTAGTATGAACCTCAGAATTGAAAGACATGGCCAGAGTTGAGGCTTTCGGCATAGGTTCATGCATGAATTCGTTGGATTAACAGAGCTTTCGTCAGTCTTCAGTCATTTGCCAGTTCCTTCTGACAACCTGAGAGATTTGGCGCCTGGAACCGTGACTTGAACGAACTTCTTACTGATTCAGCTTGATGCAGTGGCGGTAACCTGTTGAGGGACAGCATGTCGTTTATCAGGCATGTGACGAAAACTGGTCAATGAGGCAAATTATCCGGCTCTGGGCTGCAATACCGCCACCAATTTTTGTCGCTTACACTTGGACGCATCCAGCATCGCCGTATTACTGTGGGAGTGTCTTCGCCTATTCAGCCCATTTAGTTTTGCAAATCCATGGATGAGGGACATGTGCAGTCGGGCTAAGAAGTCTGTCTGGTTGCAGTGTCGTGTAGCCACGCGCCGAGGTGTTTGATCGTGGCCACGCTGACGATGGCCAGCCTTGCTATCAACGATTCCGCCACTCAATGTATGATAAAGACATCCGAAAGATGTTCGGCTGGAGAAAATCCTGGACCAGGCTCTTTCCCAACACACTGCCCGAAACAAGCTGCTCCAAGGCGCAGGACCAGCACGAGCTGCATGGCCTCAGTTCAGCAAACCCGCCATAGTTAAGTGGCTAATGATTGTCGGCAGGGGCCGGGGTAGTGGCTTCGATACACCAGCTTCCTGCTTCCAGCGCCTCATGGCCATCCCTTCGCCGTCAAGGCAGCGAAGTATCCAACTGGTGAACACCAAACCACACACTCGTCTGATTTTCTTCCTACTGAGCCTCAAAGCTGTCTGCAAGTTTGACATGTTCACACTTGGTACTCTTCTCGGAATCTGTACATAACAGGAAGCGCAACTCAACAGTGCGTGAATGGAGTTGTCAAAGGCCCTTCAAGACAGTGCCTGCGCATTGCTGCTAATTGAGTGGAGGGAACCATCGGCAGCGGAACATAGAGAATCTCTGGTGTCTCGTTCGGTTCACAGGGCCCTAAGCTAATGCCCCATGTGGATCGGAACGAAAAGTTGCTCGAGGCATCTCCAAGGCTTTGCTCCCAAACATGGGGCCGGATGGCTATTTACTGCCCTAGCATTCTGGAAGGTCAGGACTCTAACGTTCTGGCGTACGCACCGCCATTCAACCTAACTTCTAGGCTCTATAGCACCAACGCTCGGTTCTATCGGGCAGCGCGGCTCGCCGCGATGTCCGTCGCCAAACAACAAACAGCACAATGAAAGCACCGAAAATCGAACCGGCCCCACAAAATGCATAATCAAGCAGCTGCACCAGCATCCTGAAGGGGGCGCTCCGTTGAGACGAGTGCACAAGAACACGTCATCGCTTTCTCTCCAAATACAGGCCGCGAAATTCGTGACTCAGTGCTACTTCGCCGGCCTCTCCAGAAATGGCAAGAATTCGGACAGCAGGCGGACCCAGGAAGCTCCCCGCCTGGAAGCGCGGAGAACCACAGAGACAAAGGCTTAGAATTAGAACTTCGTGGCCCGTCTTGTGAAATCTCGAAGCTTTATGACAGCTATGAGATGCGGGCGAGGCACCGCGCGAAGAGTGGCAGCGGCGATGACGTAGTTCTCCCGACCTTCGCTAGGGTGCTGGGACTGCCATCTCCACATGCGATGAGAGCGCTCAGTTCCATGCAGTAGAGACGATTCCCGCTCGCGTGCTGTAGTGCCGTGGCATCAACCTGAGCTGAGGTTGTCTGTCTGCTCACAGCTTGGCCTGAACTTTCTCCACGATCGAGAAGCAATGCCGTTCGCACACAAGGCCACGGAGAATAGTACCACGTCGGCTGCCAGCCTGTGACATCGAGCATGCAAAGCAACATGCTGGGGCTACCCAACTATGTCTGGTCGTGTCGTATCTTGGTCGCTTGCGCTACACATATTGCAGTTATGACAATTACAGTTGCAACATGTTTTCGTGAAGCCGCAGCGAAATTATGAAGACACGGCTGCATCTTACATTGCAGCCTGGGGACATGGCCCAGGGTCGAAATTCACCAAGACCCAAGAACGCGCAGGTGCCCTTGAACAGGAAGACCTTTGATGCAGCTGCCCGGTGTCGATGTTGCTTGAACCCTGACTAGACTACGTCGCGCCAAATCAGCGGAAGAATTGCCAGGGTCTTGTCTCTTCTCCAAAAGGCCTTTGTTTGGCCTGTCGCTCTTTTTGAGCTCGATGTAGGACGAAAAGCAATGTGTGCAGCTTCTCTGAGCTTCCCCCGTTTCAACTCGCATCACCCTTCCTGGGCGGGGAGGTCCAAGACCACCTGGACTTGGGGCCAGAATTCCGGAAGCGCTACGGTATGGTCTTGCATTGAGGCGAACGCTCCGGCACCACACCTCTGAAGCCCGATCAATTTGCAAACCCCGGAACGCGTGTGTGTAGACTTGAAAGGTGAGCATCCCATGTTGGCCGTAACTGGCTGTACTCACTCGCCTTTTTCTCCTCGTTCTGAACTGCAATTGGTTCTGTGCCCCTCCCCTCTGCTGGCCTTCTTGCACTACTCTTGCACATCTGTCATTTCCGAGGCTGAACGCTGCATTCTGAGGTGGGTGTCGGTCGGGATCGAGACCACTGCAAGTTTAAGACAGATCAAGCAGTGTGCATTCTTTGATGGTTTCTGAAGCTGTGATCTGTTTCATGCAGGGCTCTCTCAATTGAAATTGTCAGACTGTTCGGGCTAAAGGTGTTGCAGCGTCGACAATTCCAACTCAAAGCATCTTGTTGATGTGGACTTGCTTTGTAGGCTGTACTTGCGGACGCTGGCATTCATGTACTCAGATAGCTAGGCAGATAGATAGATAGATAGATAGATAGATAGATAGATAGATAGACAGACACACAGACAGATAGATAAATAATTTGATTGATTGATTGATTGATTGATTGATCGATAGATAGGTAGATAGATAGGTAGGTTGATAGATATATCTCTCAATAGATAGATAGACAGACAGATAGATCGGTAGATAGATAGTTAGTTAGTTAGTTAGTTAGTTAGTTAGTTAGTTAGGTTTATAGATAGGTAAATAGATAGATAGGTAGATAGATCGAACAATAGATGATTAGATTAGAGAAGACAAGATTAAACTTTCATTTAGATTAGACTAGATAGATAGATAGATATAGATGGATAGGTATAGGTAGACGGATGGATAGATGAGCAAAGCAATCTTGCAACTGACACTCTGCATGCTCGAAAGACCAAGTTGCTGTGGCCAGCATTGGTGGCAATGCCACACAAACGGGCCATGGCCTGGCAAGGCGAAAGGTTCAAAGGCGGACCTGCACCCGAGCGAGTACCGGGGAGGTAAACCGCCCGCCATGGGGTGGCCGAAGGCATTTCGTCCAAGTGTCACGCCCAAAAGCTGTCTACACAATATCAAGCCAATATCAAGCAAACCTGAGAAACAGAATGGTGCCGCCTCTCAGCGGGCAGCCAGCTCAGCATCACCTTGCCAAGTCCGAAAAATCTAAGTGTGCCGGAAGATCAGGTCGAAACGTATAGCACCTCGTCATGCGTGCTTAGCCAAGACACTGTGAGCGGTGCCGTGGCACAGAAGGCGCTGCCAAGCAGAAGCCTCGAGCATCTTCGACACTGCTCAGACAGTTGCAAGAGCGCAGAAGAACGCATCTGCGTGCATGCAGCTGGGCCGTCGTAGGTCGTAGGCTTTTTGGGGTCCCAGGATGCATGGTGCCGGCAAAAGGCTCATGCTGCTGCTTTGAGAATTGCACGGTACTCTGCTATTGCTGCAGAAGCTGCCCGATGGACTGTGCAGAGAAGTGGAGCTGGCGCTCCAACACCAGAGCCGTTTGTGCCTTCGTGTGGCACACGGTACACTCCTAGGAGTCTCAAACCTGTCCGGCAGAATTGGCAGAATGAATTCCCGACGGCTTCCTGACAGCTTCTTCGTGCTTGCAAGTGTCCTGTAACTAAACCTTGCAGTACGGAACAAACTGAAGGATTGCAGTTGTGTCATTCTTCAAGCCTCCAGTGATGAGGTCAGAGCAGCACCTTGTTAGGCAACGCTCCCGGCAGCCGCACCAAGCATCAACAGCAACTCTCCACAACTCAGAGCAGCACAGATCAGCGCATATGTCAAGCCGGCCCAGAAGATAATTCTCCTGCACCAAAGACGGATAGCCGGATAGCTCGCTCGAACAAGGCACGCAGCAGCTGGTACAGGCACATGGCATAGTTCGCTGTGCCTGGAGATCGCCAAATCACCAGACTCGCACATGGTATCATCAGGGTCTGCGTCTTCCACGCCGTCTACATCCTGGTCTGGGTGGCTGGCTCACTCCATGCCGTCATATTTTCGCAAACTGCTACATAATAGCGTGATAACGTCTGAGGCTGGATGCCTTTTTAGACTGCCGGCTTGAGCAAGCAGAGCCGCTTTTGCACACGCGCTCTCGATATCCTCCACTTTCAACCACTTTCGCCGCATCGTTTTCAGCGGGCAGCCGTGCCCGATCTGTGTCGTGAGGTCGTCTTGTTGGCATGGCTAGAAAGCTCATACGTGCAAGAGGCGCTTTGGGCATCGAGATTCCTAAACACATGCAAACGCACAGAAACTCATGCTTACGGGCACGGTCTGAAGTTCTGAAGGTCATCAGCCAAGGACACCGAAGCATCGCTCATTCAACGCATAGCCTTGGAGGGTCTCATCTCCGTACTGGAGTTTGATGCTGCAGTACCTTGCGAAGTGGTGTTTGAATTCGATGCCTAGAACTGTGTGCCTACAATCGGCTACAAGACTTTCTGCTCTCACACTCGCTCAAGACAGACGAGGTCCGAGAATTCGCAGTGGGGAGGTTCAGAAAACAGATAGAACGGCCCGTCCCGAGGTACGAGACTGAGAAATTTACATCTATTTCGACCGGCGGGGATTTGAACTGTTTTGGCAAGGGCGCTGCTCGACGCATCATCCGGCTGCTCAGAGCCAAAATCTAAAATCCAAAATATCAACCAGTATCAATGTTGGTGCTTGTGACCTCTGTTTCAATCAACCGTGATAAGAGTTTGGGGCAAATACAACGATCATCTGGTCCCGTGGTGGCCTCCAGACAACACCCCTCTAGGGATCAGTCATTGATCAATCGTACTTGTGGCTCATGTTAAAGGGCCATGGCACACAAGTCTCCTGAACAGCAAACACTCCACTGGAAGCTTGATCAATCGCCGGCCGTCCGCAGAAATCAGTATGGAACAAAACGGCCTCTGTGGCACACGGACCGAGACGAATTCACTGCCCTCCAGAACTTCATACAAAGACCATGCCATAATACCAACACCACTAAGCTGATGTACATCCTGCAAAATCCAATTGGGGATGCCTCAACCGGAAGCTTTCCGCATTTGCTCACGAGAACTTTTCCCAAGTTAGAGCATCCCGACAGCTCGTATCGTCAGCCCTTTGCCTGAGCACGCCGCTCTTAGTATGCGTAGTGGTTGCATATAGCGCGTCATCGGCTCTGCGCGTGCTTCTTACAAGTAGCTGGATGCTGCAAAGGCTGCCGCAGTTGCATGCGGCTGTTTGTGTCGCCCTTCTTGTAGTCGTGCAACCACTCCCCAAGCGGAGTGATGCTGGCAACCTGAGCTTGCATGTCCTCTGGCTGCCTTAATTAACACCGACAACAGCTACACTTTCTGCTCAGCAGCATATCGCTCCCCACCGATCCAAGCATGCGCCTCGGTGTCCTACAGAGGCAAGGTACTTCAGGCTATGCTCGAACATGTTTCCGACGGAATGGTGCTTTCGCTTGAAGTCGCAAGCTAGCAACAGAGGCTTGGGAGCCGGGCCCGATGCCTGACACCACAAGAACTCAAGAAGGCACGGAAGTGTCCTGCTGGTAGGTGTCCCGGCTGTCTGCCTGCACCAACTCGTTCGTGTCGCCATCCAGCAGTTTGAAGTAATTGTACTTAGCCTGTCAGATCACCCAGCTTGGAGGAGATGTAGAAAAGAACAATGCCCACGATGCGGTCCTCGCCATCTCCCAAACGGAAGGTCGCATCTGCAGTCCTCTCTTGACACATCAAGCACGTGGCTCAAGAAAGACTGGATCACAGCTTCTCTGTACGGAAGGAAGGGCACCAGCTAGCTGCTTCCGTCACACTCTGCCGAGGCTCCACAGGAACTTTCCACCGCTGAGCCAACTGCTCTGAATGAAGCGGTAACCTCTGCTACAAAAACAGAGCTAGAAAAAGCTGGCCGTCTGAATTGTTCTAGGTGCACACGGCAAGCAGCGGCTGCCTAGGCCTAGGATCTAGCTGAGCAGCCCCAGTGAGGACCATAATGTCCGAAATACCTCTTTGAATACCTGAGGGGTCACGACGACTTCAGTGAACAGGTCATAGACCTGACTGCGCCCAACTGCAAACAGCAGCAACTGCAGGCAAGCAACCCTCGACCAACTCGCGTGCGGCCGCCATGCCTGGAGGCGCAAAACTCCACAGCGTTCAGTTTTCCCCTAACACGACTGGAAGTCAGGATTGCATGATCCATCTGTCCAGGCTGGAATCCGCGGCTCAGCGCGCCGCTTCATGGTGATCTCTAGGTCGGGCCGATGAATGACTGCATCGTCTTGTTGGCCGGCAGGAAGCCAGGAGAAAACCTGCGCCCGTGAGATTTCACTGTTGACTTCGGGTGAAGCTTGAGATAAGTACGCTCGCTGGCACCCCATTTCTCTGCTGTTCAGGTTGCAGGTCTCTACCCACACGAAACAAAGCGAGCTGAAGTTTAAGTTGTATTGTTCAACGGCTCGACGAGATAGACACGGCAAGACTCGAGCTCAAGCAGAAGTGACGAAACCATGTGCAGCGCATAATCCCACCGTCCACTTCCGTCTGGAGCATGCCTAACTTATGCTTCAATGTCTCTCGCACTGAGGCAGGCAGCATTGCGAGATTTGAAGTCCACGACGAGCTCCTGCAGACTCAGATGTGTATCGTGACTGCCACAATCTCATCCCAAACCAAGCCGGCCACGATCTGCCTGATTGCAGTGCAGGAAAGGTCCGCCGGACAGACTGGTGTAAGGTTTAGGACGCAATTATGCAAATATTGCCTCAGAAGCTCCGAACAAGCTAGCAGCCGCCGCCCAAAACAACCCATTGCGAGCTCAGGAATAGTGGACGTTCGCAGGACGAGCAGGCACTGAAGCTCCTCGCTGCCCAGTGACACGCGCCCGCCACCGTCACCGTCTTCAATCTGCAGCCGGGGCCCGGAGACATGAAGATAGTCGACCTCGACGACCCGACGCAGCAAGCAAGCAAAGACCCTCATCACATCACTTATGATCGCTACTCGGTCTCGCCTCGGCTTGCTGCAGTGGCTGGCTGCAGTTTTCCAGCCTCAGGAGCCGACAATGTAGAATGTAGCCGCATTTCGCGTGATTCCCCTGATGCCCTCTGATATGTGGAGAACATCTGGGAACCTCTCTCAGAGACCCGACCCACAACTGCTTGCAGTTCTTTACCTCTTAGCCTTGGCAGCAGTAGTAGAATGAAGCCATTGTCTAATCACCTGCATCAGAGCTTCACGCAGAAACCAACGAACAAGTGCAACTGAGGGTATGATATGTATGTGCGGCGAGGTGGCTCCTGCACCTTCTGCTGGCTATGATCGAAGATCCAGAGGGAATGCTCTTCGACACTGGGCGTCAGGAAGGCTCGTGCCTTTGCCCAAGAATGCGCGACACGGGCAACGGTAACCTTCGACTTGGAATCTGACGGCAAGGAACGGTGGAGAACTTCGAAAACGGAACGGACAACACATAGCCTACCCCGTGGCCTGGACGAACATGTCTTCAAAAAAGAAGTGGTACTGGACCATATCGTGCCAACCTTCGGATGTGTTTGTGATACAACAAACATTGCAGCTCCGCCGTTACTTGTACCTGACATCTTTAGACCCTAACCCAAGTGTAGCACTCCAAGAGCAGGCCAGTTGTCCGCTCCAAGGAATGCGAAGTGACAATAACCATCAATTACAGCATGTGGAGGCCTCCACGCCAGGGAGGTAAACCTGCTCCTGAAGGTCTGGATCTTAAGACATGGGTTGCGCTTAAGCAAACAGGCCAGCTGCCTCACTGACACTGCCGCAATGATGCGGAGCCCCTGTATACAAGCTTCATAATTTGGGTGGCTCTTCCAACATCACGGGGACATTAGATCGCTGACACTCAACCTGCCTACAGTACCACCTGCACAAGAGGACAAGAAGAGTTGCCCCCAGTCCTAAGTCCCCAATCTCGACGATCCTGCAGCAGCGCGCTGCGGGGCATCCGGCCCTGCGGCATGGCGCATCGTGCCTCCATCCACTTCACTTACCACGACAATGGGCTTCAAGCGAAAAGGAGTTGAATCTGTAGCTTCAAGGAGCCAATGCCTCTTGGCAAAGCTCCGAGGACTCGGGCACCAATGGCTCTGCGGAAGGCCATGGCTTGGCCAGGGACTCAAAAAGGTCCAAATGTAGTGAAAGTTGACCTTTCCCTGCTGTAGACTTGAAGTTGATGTCGTCACCGAGTCTTTTTGCAACAATGCTTTCATTACATGCACAAGCACATGACCAGGTCGCGAACGCAGCTCAGGTCGCGCAGTGAGGACATGCTCAGGCCGCCGGGGGTCAAATTTCAAGATGGTGTACAAACGTAAGCGAGCTTGACCGAGTGAATGCAACTGCACGCGAAGCCACCAGTTCATATCCATGAAGCCACGATACTACCACAAGCCGAAACTCCGCTTTCAAGATTTCATGCTTTTGACGTTTGAACAAATATTTGAAGACCAACCCGAGCTACTCGTCGGCGATGAAGATGCTCGGGATACCCCAAATGTCATACTTGCTTCGACAGCAGTCGATGTTGAGTGCTGATACGGTTCCGCCGAGGCACAAATTCATGCACATAGCACAAAAGAAGCAAATATGCAGAACTGCACGTGAGGAAAATGTGTAGTGTGTTCGACACCAAAACTTCCCAGCCCAAGCCACGAGTGAAGTGCTAAGATCGTTGTCCCGTCCTGGCGATCGCCTGAAGACGTCATGCGTTATATGATGATATGCAACTTATATAGAATACGGCTATGGTACACGACTCTAACCCCTTCTCCGCAACAATGTTTAGAGCCCTCTCCGGCACGTCCCAATCTGTTGGAGTCCCTGTCCTGTCTGCCGCCAGTCTCCGCCTCTGAGAGCTCTAGCGGAAGGGCGCTGCGAATGGCCTCAGCGAAATCTGGCGAAACGGAAGTGCACACTTATGGATTTCTGCGCCAGTTCCACACTTGCTTCTTTGGAGGACTGCCTGGAACCAACTTGCAACATGCATACAACTGGACAATCGGAAAGGAGGATTGGTGGAGCGCATAAATATAATCTCGTGCAGCGACGAGACCAACAAAAGGCACCAGCCATATCGCATTCCCTCCCGGAAAATCCCTGAGCACTGCCTCTACCCTTCGATCTGGACCCTCCTTCTTCTCTGCTGTTTCAAGTTTGTAGTGCCAAGATGGGCCCAGCCACTAGCAGAAGTGCCGTCCAAAGAAGTGCCAACACCTGGATGGCAAGGATTCGACATGCAGGTCGTCAAGCTGGCATCACCGGCATGTCTGATGCCGCGCACAAGCGCTTGCGACGACGGACAACCCCATCACGGCAGTCACAGAGGCCCCTGCAATCAGCGGAATGCAAGCGCGGAGTTCCACATCTGACACCTGCACCACGTCCTGAGAGGCTTCATTTTGTCTTCGGAAGCTGTTTGTGCCTTACCAGGGCTGCGTCAAAGGCGCTCCAATCGCGCCGCTCAGCAGAGGGCCGAGGCCAAAACCCAGAGCATTGGAGGCAAAAATGCTGACCATCAGTTCCTGGGACAGTTAGGGAGCTGTGGGAGCTTCCCACTTCCCACATGATTCGTCGGACTCAAACTTCCACCACAAGCTGGACCTAAGTGGATCCAAAGACGCTCGAAGCTCTTCCTGCGGGCTCACCTTCACCACCATCCTGAGGGCTCAAATGCAATCTACGAGAGCGCGCTCGGTAAACCTCAGTACTCCTCATAACCCTTTATTGGCTCTGTGATTTCGACTACCACTCTTTCTGTAGGGTTGGAACCAACCAACATCTACCATCATCTACCCATATTGGTCCCATGCAGCGGAAGGTTCATTTGCATGACATCGCCGACGCTGTCGACGAGGCCGTAGCTCATGCGCAGGAGGACTAGCAGGCTGGCGCGAAGAGTTGCCTGGTGCTTTCGCTTTCGATGCTGTTAGTGCAACCAGAGCCTTAGGGGCACCCGACGAAATTGGACTACGTATTGCCCAGCCAAGGCATCCATAGCGGGACAAGAAATTCTGCATCACCGTTTACAGATCAAAGCTGTTCAAAAGTTCTCTCTGCCAAAACACATTTCCGGATAGGAATAGAAAGCCAGGCGGGTGGACAACCACGGCACAGAGCGCTGTGGAAAGCACATAGACCGCGTAGGCCACCTTGCACACGACGGCCATGGTTTCCGTGGAACGGTGAAGCTAAGAAAGTCTGCAGCCGCTGACGATGTAAACCCGAATTCCAGAAGCTGAGGCTTGCGAAGCGGCCCGAGACACCAGAGGGATCTAGACTCTCTAGACGATCAGACCTATAGGCAACCATCCTGGGCCTTCGGATCATGCTGCACCACAAAAGGCTACAAGCTGCTTGTTGCTACTAGTTGCTAGTACTCCGCTGAGAATAAGATGTACGCACCAAATCAAACGTTCATCTCTGCCAAGTAGCAACGATGTAGGTACAGATTTTTGTCTGGTTCCAGGACATCATCACCCATCTGGCACGGAGTGCACCTGCTCAAATCATTCCAAAGAAACCATGCTGCTCGGAGAAACACATGCACCTAGGCACTTCTGCCCCTGGGCCTGCCAGGTAAACAGCAAAGGGGGCCGACACCATGAGCCCGGAAAAGGCGCTTCCTTTCCCCAGATGCGTGGCCAGGTCGTAGGACAGAGGCACGACCACTGTGTACCTCGATGGGTGCACCGGAGCATTTTCAGCAACGGGCTGAGTCCATACAGCACACGTCAGGCTCTGCACCTGTATGCCACGCAAGCGTAGAATGCAGCTCTTGTATCACGCGAAAATGCATGGCCAGCTTAGAATGCATGGTGTTCTCCCAGTCTCACTTTGACCACGAGACGTTGCCGAAGCTAGGCACTCCGCAATGAGGAGCAGGGAAATCAAGGTCCGATGAAGTTGGCCCCGTGCCAGCCATTCCACACAGATGCCTAAGAATGAGGACATGTCCGAAGCACCGCATCAGCAGGGCCATCCCGATCTCCCGACAAGGCTCAGCCCCAATATGCCATGATCGAGACAAGCTTCCCGCAAACGAAGCGAGGATCAGCAGCGCAAAAGCATAGCCAAACGTGCTGCTACTCCTGCAAAGGCAGCCTACAGGCACTAAGTTTCGCACCACATATGCATATGTTCCCAGCTCGCTCTTGTTCGTCCATTTTCGTCAAGTGTCAATTCTTGCTGCGGCTAGATAGTGCTGCTAACAGGCAACACCAGGTCCAAAGAAAGGATGACTTGCACCGCAGGCAAAGTCCGACCTGCTTCCATCACAGCATGAACAACCATGACCAACAGCACCAGCCCTTACAAAGATCTGCCAAACGCGATTGCCTTCCAACCTTTCCAGACCATAGTCCTGCTGCCGATCTGCTGCAAACCGGCGGAGTCGAAATCTGCGCTTGCAGCTGCCAAAGCGGAGTCTGCGAACTCCACAGCGAAGCTCCTGGCTGCGGCTGCTCTCGCTCCGTAAATGAATCTGGTATCCTGAGAGTGCTACACCGTCAGCTTCTTTAAGAGAGTAAAGCAAAAAGCAAGTTTCCCCAGCACCTGCGAGCAGCGCGGCCCTGCAGCAAGCGGAGTGCGTCAGCATCTCCGGCCTCCAAGATGGAGTCCTCCGTCAAGAATGCTTTTAAAGCGCATCTTTCCCAAATTTGTCTTGGACTCTCTGCTCCGAGAATCTGCTCAGTCCTCGAAACAGTCTTGGGCTGACGTCCTGATGATGGTTGTGGCCAAGATGGCCCAAAGCCAGTGTATCATGGCGATCTGGCTTCCATCTGCTTCAATCTTAAAAAGCCAAGAACTAAGCTAAGCACTCGACGCCTCCTGCGACCAACGAGAGCACAGCTTGACTGCGACTAGCGAAGCAACCAGCGCACGAAGGAATGTGATTCGATCGGGGCTCAAGTGCTCAAGGAAGAAAGTGGCAACGACATGAAATAGGACTTGCTTTGCTGACCTGTGGGCGCTTTCTTTGAGCCTCAACACCAGCAATGCCGCGCTGACATCTCGTCTGTGTTCTGGAAACATCGACCAGCCCGCTGCAGATCGCATTTGGGCTCGGACCACAGGTTTCTACTATTCTCTCCCGTTCTCATGGGTATGTCCTGAAATATGGTGTGCATGCTCAAGACCTTCCAAGGCTCGCGCTTTGCCCCAGTATCAGCCAAGAAGGTTTCGGCAAGTGCCTGGGGCTTCGGCACTTTCGCTCATGCGGCCAAAGACGAAGCCATGTAGCCCCCAAGTGACATTCCATGCAGCTGGAGCACTCCATCCAACTTTCCCTGGCTGACGAGGTCTTGCAGGTGTTCTGCATGCTCCTTACATTGAGACGGTTGCAGACAGCCCCATTCGAAGCTCGCAACATAAATGGCATTTATTATGTAACTGTTCGCGCTCGGAAATCAACCACACATGCTTGCGTTGGAATACAAAGTCGTCCTTGAAAAGCTGGCATTCGAGCTCGCCTGCATCATGGCGAGAGAAGCTTCTTTGTGTGTTTCGTGTTTTGAGAGGTCATTGGTATGCCTCCAACGCAGGCCAGTACTGGAACCTGGACATGCCTTTAACATCAAGTATGCCCAGAACCATTGGGCACCTGACAACTTTTCCCCTGCAACACAGGTAAAGCCTGGAGGCGTCTTGCCTCATGACAGCCTCGCTATTCAACCAGCAGAAGAGCCCTTTCAGGACTCTTTCTGAGACTAGGATTTACAGTCTGTCAGCCATGGTCAGTCGCTGCAGCTCAACGGCTTTGGCTTGCCTGAGTCATGGGTCTTATCGACATCTCTGGATCAAGGCCGCGCATGCTCGCAGGTCTTATGAAATGCCTGAAGTGAGTTCTCAGTAGATGCTGCTGGAGGCACAGACTAAACTTCAGCAAACTCGCGTGGGGACTGGAATCGGAGAGACCCACAAGAAAGCGGGGGAATGAGTCGCATGTTCTGAAGCCTGTCTTCATTGTTGGCACGAATAACATGCCGCGATTCAAGAAGTATCCTGTGTTCGATGGCATCTCGTTTCTGGAATCACGCAGGGCGGAATTCTGCGATGTCGATGAAAAGCCTCCCAAATGACTAATGCCAACCACGACGACCACCGACTTCCAGTGTTGGGGCCACGCAAGGTTAGCTTGAACGCGAAAGCGCAGCTCGTGGATATTGCAGATACCCAGGTCACCTACATCCATTTATCTACGTCATCAAAGTTCTGACAAAACTTTCGCTATGATTCGCAGCCTTCTGCTCTCCGGTGTCGTGGTGTTGACTTGGCGCAAGCACCAGCTCGCAACAATCCAAGACATCCAGCATAATCCGAAAGATGTAAAGGTTTACATTGCTGTCTTCCAAACACACTACACCCCAGCTGTGTGAGCCAGGGAAACCACTTAATTCTTGCAATGACGGTGTGTTTCTGAAAGCAATTAACAGCACACCGTCGGAATCCGGATGGTTCTTGCATGTTCATGTGAATTACATTCATCGGAGAACCGACACAGGCATAAACTTCGATAAACTCGCGAAGAGGTCGGGCGGCTTGGCTCAACCCGAACTGTGACCACCACTGCACGCGACTGCTGTAACTGCAGGACCCATGTTTGCACATGGTCAGCTGGAAGGTCAACTATACTGCCTATACTGTCAACTCGTAAAAGGTGCGGCCAACTCAGGCGGCTGCCAACGGAGCAAATCCCGTAGTCTGTTCTCCAGGTGCAGGCCAGCTCGTCCTTTGCCCGGAGAAAAGTGACAACATTCCTTCTTCAAGACCCCCTCTGAGTGGCTACAGTCGAGGTGCTGTCTTGTTGGTGTCGGTGTTCTTGAGCTCCAACTTGCCTCCGTGACATCCACGCCAGTCCCCGAATACAGCCTACTAAGCTGTCCTGTCATGCTCAATTGCCTTCGACAGTACGGAGCTACCTTTCAATCGAGCTACAGCTGTGTACTCACCCGAACAATGATCAAACATCAACTCAACACTGAGAGCTCCGAAGGCGCCAGGTTTGAAGCAGCCCCAACTCTCGGACAAAGCTGGGGCCATCTGGGGACCGCACTGGCAGCACACTTCTCCTACAAGTCATCTGCGAATACTTGGGTACCCACTTGGGAAGAGGTTGCTAGAAAGCTTGGGCCCTCCGTGTGCGATGAGTGCTGTGACCTCCTATGTTCAGTCAGGTGCCTTGTCCAAGCCATTGCAGCCTCCCTCGATCACCTTCTTTTCGCGGAAGACGGCGCATTCAGCTGGCACGAGGGCGCATGCAAGTTACGAAGCTTGACACTTGAGGTGTTAGCCGCTAGCCTGGATGCCTGCCTCTGCTCCGGTGCAGATCCGGCGGCCAAGGTTGAAAAGTCTCTACTTCTGAGCCCAACCCGTTTCTGCTCTGCATAGCCCAGATCTCCTCCATCGACAGAACTGAGGGACGAACATCACACCAATAATTGCCACGAGTAAACCAGAAAGCGTCCCCCACCGGATAAAATTGGGCATGTCAGTAGCCGGAAGCTGAAACCGCCACACTGAGCCACCGACCAGCTTCGCAGCAAGCATCCTCGCTTGCATCAATGATCTCCTGGCCATCGTCGCGACATGCTCAGTACTCACGGGCAGAAGTGTCAAGCAATTTCGACATCGAAAGGCTTCATGTCGTTGTTTACCTAAGTTCTCTTTTTGGTTTGAGCAGCCCACTTAAATCCCTAGCAGTTGCGGCCTTGGCATTCGGCTTGATCTGGCCAGCATTGCAGGAGTAGAGGGCGCAAGTTTCTTAGTGGCAGAAGAATGTGGCGCGCTCTCTCCAGCCTTGAGTGCCTTTCAAGCCTGGGTTCTCTTGCAGCAAACATCCGCAGTGTGGCCGGCGGTGTTGTTCAGAGACGGATTTGGCGCATAGTCACCTCAACGCAACCAGCATGGCGATCCACGTGTGTCTGATCTGCACGTTTATGAATGCCCTGGTCGAGAACAATATTTGGCCGCACGTGCTGCTGAATGAGGCTGCATTTGTGCCTCACGACACGTGTAGCACTATGCTGTTATGCTGGTATTGGGTGATCTGCAGCCTGGACGCCGGTACACTTGTCCTGGTACTGCTCGCAGGTCTTCTCACAGCATGTCGAGTCATCCACTCCCACCTTGACCGAAGAGGCTGCAGCCGCAAGAAACTCACGCCGGGATTCCGACTTTACAATTACAAAAACTGCATGAAACGGTATTCTGTTCATCATTGTTCATCCGAGAGTCGAAGTCGTCCGTGCCTGGCCATAAGTCGTGTTCGACGTGTGACTCGAAGAACTCACTGATGTTTCACACCCATCGATGCATGCACAGGTAAGGGGCACAGGGCATACTTGCAGCAGCTGCGCCTGCTTTCTTCTTCCATCCCTTGCCGCAGTCGTACTTGGCGCAGGTTTTCTGGCAGCAAGCCTGGCCAATGTTTCGTACTCGGCATTTGGATCGCGGCCGGAGGTTCAAGGTCTGAGAGCAACAACTGAAGGATGGAATACACGCCAATGCAAGCAAGGCTTTCCAAAACGAATTGCGAGCCTCTTGCCAGACATTCAAGTCATGCAAAACAGGTTGCTGCATTGCGTGCATACGCCTCATCGGAGTGCCGGAGTGCAGTCACCTGCACGACTGAGTTATGGCTGGGGTTCCCTCTCCGATTCCTGCCCAGGCTTCCTGAAGGGATGTTCTTGTGCCTGGCGGATCTGTATAGGTTAATAGGTGTCAGCAGAAGGTTTCGTCAATCTCTAGGGTTTCGGTTTTGTTGTCTGACATCTGCCTCATAAGCCTGGTAGCAACATGCAGATCGAATGAGCTATGAGTTGAAGCGAGGGGAACTACTGTAACAACTGCTGTGTTTTGCCAGGTATGGATGAATCATATAGGTTGCAGCCTGCGCTCACGAATCGCGAAAGGCTATTGTGCATCTGTTCCTGCGACTAGTGCACATCGACATGGAATCATCGCGATCCGTCGGTTCAATCAGACCCGTGGTGCGTCACAGGAGTGCGCCGCCTTTACAGGGTCGGGCTTCCAGCCAGCGCTGCAGTGGAACGCGCTGCAAAGCCTGACGACACAGCAAAGATTGATGGTATCAGCTTTTACCGGCGGGGTGATGCAATCACACGATATGGATTGCACTGAAGCAGCTGTGCGAGGCTTTAGCTGGCCTTAGATCAAAAAAACACAAAACTTGTCTTACGGCCAGAGAACGGCTCACAGCATTCCTCCTTGGTGCTTCCAATAGCGTTCTCCTGCCCACAGGTGCAGATGCCCTTGTCACTGAACAAGCGGAAGCTCTAACTATTAGATGTCACCCAACCGTGGTCTGGAATGGCGAGTCTTTGCACCGAAATGCTGACAGCTTGCAAGCACCCAACTTGAAATGGAGTGCGTCCTTAGAAGCAGGCACCGCGTAGCCGTCCGGGCAGGATGAAAAGGCGCTGCATGTTGTGCTGCAGCACTTCTTGTCGCTGACATCGGTGAGGTGCAGTTCTGGGCGCGGCAAGGATCTACCGCCTTCAATTGGAGTAACTTCCGGGCTTCGCAAAGGAGTAAGTGCCACCGCTTCTAGCTGCTGGGCTGTTGAAGATAAGGCTGAGAGTGGACCAGCCTACTTTGCGGCTTCTTGGAATCCCTCGATGCTGGACCGACCTGTAGGTACACGTGCCATCGGCTTCGGTCCCTTGTCGCGAACTCTGCAGACTTAGACAGTTCATATGAAGCCGGCGAATGCAGGCGAAAAGAGAAAAGTGGCTCCATCTCTTGGAGCCCTTGTGGTTTCTTCCCCTTGAGGTGGGAGAGATCTGGGAGCGATCCGAGAGTCCGGAAGGCGACTTGTGTGTCGAACCGCGAGAGTCTAGAGGCTTGAGTGGCAACTGTTTCTGTGTCGCACTTTTCGTCACCGTTCGGCATCCGAGTCAACATCCTGGGAAGCTAGCTTCGAATTCAGTGCTACTTCCTCTAATCGTTCTATGATGAGTCTTCGTCGCTGTGTGGGCAGGAGCTCCAGGCGAAGGTAACGCTTGTCCTTTTGAAGCTCGTCGCAGAGCTCCTGGAACTTGACGCCTTCCCCTCGCACGGCATGTGGATCTCGAGCAGCCGTTGCGAGCACCTCACTTTGGCGCAAGAAAAGTTTGAAGGCCTCCGCAGCTTCTGTGAGGCGGTAGCGGCGCCAGTTTTCCCAACGGATCCTTAGCTCGTCCTCGGGCACCGGCCGGAGCAGCTCGCTTCCCAACAGAGCGGCCGCTCTTTCACAAACCGCCTCAAAGGGAAGCTCCGGCCCGAGCTCTTCGAAGCTGCAGCGTAGAAGCTCTGAAGAGAAAGCGCCAGCACGGCGCTCTTTGTCTTCGTCGCAGACTCTGTTGAAGACCTCGTGGAGGTAGGCCTCCTCCACATCCTCGGGCAGCTGCGCGCGCTCCTCCTGAAAAACCACACGGACCTCATCCCAGGATAAATCCAGAGGACTGCGGATCTTCCTTTGAAGTAAATCTCGCACTTCTTGCTCCACAACATCTCTGCGGCTCCTCTTGCGATGCTCTGTCAGCTCCTGAGCAAGCAGGAAGCTGCCGAACTCAGGTGCAGCACAAACTGTTGGAATTCGAACGATGGGCGACAACAGCACGTTAGGTCTGCAGGCATGAAGCACCATTGACTGTGTAGCTTGTATCGAAGCAGACTAGAGATTCACGAGTACAACATACATGCAGCCGTCAATTAAACCCATCAATAACTCATTCTCGCAAGCCCGGCATCGTCTTCTTCGTCAGCTTTAGCTTTTCTGGAGGCTGCCAACTTCGCAGAGTGGTCGTTTGCCATCTCGTTGTACAAGCCCTCACGAAGCGTCTTTGATGTCAACGCCTTCCAGCGTGTTTGATGTCGCAGCATCTTTCGAGCCTCCTCAAAAGTCGGCAACTGGCCATCCGGATCTTTGAAGAATGTCTCGTGCAACAACGCGCGGAAGTCGCGGGCAGACTGCTCTTCTGCAAGAGCTCTCTTCTGGTTCATGCTGCGAAGCAATGCTTCTGTTATGCGCGACTTTTCTGTCAGGGGAGTGGCTTTCCAGCAAGGATTTTGACCAAGGTCGTTGGCAGAAATCTTGGCCACGGCCTCTTCTGCAGTCTTTACGTTGTCAAAGATTCCCCGCGACTCCGCAGCAGACAGCAGCTCCTCAAGGGCTTGCCGATTGTGACGGCGTGTGCTTGCTTCGACCTCTCGCTTTTCAGCCACCATCCTCTGAAGAACCTTCTGAAAAAGAGGCTTCCTTTGTGTTTTCGGAACAGCGGTGAAGCGAATGTCAGCCGCTAGCCGTGGCAACCACGTTTCAAATCGGTCCGACGATGGCACTTGCAGCTCTTCCAGCATCTGGGTGAACTGCTGAACCTTTAGTTGGGCACGCTCCTGAGCCGTCAGGGTCTGGGTCGTCTGGGTCCGTGTGTTTTCCGAGTCTGAGCCGGAGCTGCAGGAGCTGGACACGGAACAAACGCTCTCTGCGGGCTGCAAAGATCGAGAATGAGCCTCTGCCTCAGTCGCCCTGTCACATGCCTCGGCCTCCGCATCCTGCGAGGCACTCTTTGCAACCACTTCCTTGCCCTGGCTCTTGCCCGCCGGAACCACACGATCTAGCGGGCCAGTAGGAATTGTCCAGCGCGACTCTTTCGTGACAGGGTTGTAGTAGTACGGTACACCATAGGGCGATGGATGTGCTTCCCACAACTTGGACGAGGCCGGATCGATGGACTCCATGATTACCACAGCCGATGCACAGCTTGGCACAACATCAAAGCATGTCGGACCTACCTGTATACCCATCTAACACTGGGATCCGGCTTTGCATTGCCATGGTTGTTAAACGGATTCGGCAAAAGCTGATTTATCCCCATGTTTCTGCAATTGAATGAGCCGAAGGACTTGCTGCATTTCCACTCCCTTTCTCGGCAACGCCAGGCAATGGCACACGACGAGTTGGCCCCGTACTACCCGAGCAGACGAAGTGTGGAGCTCACACTCAGGTCGCAAAGCAACAACCTACCTGGACCTGACACCCTTGTCAAAGTACCACGTCCTGTAAGACAAGACGTAACAATACCGAAAACAAAACAACTCATCAAACTGCGTAATAGCCGTGTTCAGCGGTCCAATGGCCCGGTTTCAACACATACCATCATGCATGCTGTGCCAGCTTTCTCAACCATCTGTGTTGCTAAGTCTGCTGCCTTACCCCTACAAGAGGCACCGTCAGTACCAGGGCGTCCTTCCAGCACGAGCTACAACTACAATCTCTAACTCTAATTATCCGCCGTATCCCGTGCCACAACCATCTGCTGCTGAGCCACTCTTCGGATCAACCGCAAGACCCTGCCTGAGTTGCAGCCCAACAAGACGTACGGCAATGTGGCTCCCAGAATTGTGACTTCCCGGGCCATGCTCCACTTTCTTGTGAATGTCTCAGCACTGACGCCAGGCTGCGATTCGTCACAGGTGTGCGTCGCGCAGGTTGCTTCGCAGCAGAAGCTCTGCGCATCATCTTCAGCGAAAAGTTTGTCCTTGGTCCAATGCTCGAGCCCCAGAAGGCCATTAGAACACCGGTCAGCTGCATCTCAAATTTGCTATAGTTCGAATATCTGTTGGCTGCACAGTCTTCCACTGACCAAGATCAAATCGAGGCGAAGCGGCCGCATTGGCTTTCACTTTGACGTAGTTCGGCAAGCAGGTGACTTTGGAGCAGGTCGGCTCGCAACACTCCTGGCAGTATACCGCAAACCCCAGCACGCACTTGGCCATCTGACCACGCCCCCGCATCTGCACTCCCGCACGCCCACACAACCACACACACACACAGACGCGCAGACGCACAAACACACGGACACACACGGACACACAAACAACAGACACAGGCACACACACACACACAGACACACACTCTCAGTCGCTTGAGTATGAAGCGACCCACTGCTGGATGATGGCAGATGTCTCACATCATGCTGGTGATGATTATGGTAACCCAGCGGGACGAAATGATAATGTGCTGCCAACTATGCCAGAATATGCCAGAAACAAGGAACATGGCATGTAAAACTGGACGAGATGATCCATATAGCCATACTGTAGGGGATGTGGTTTCTGCCCCGCTACTTAAATCAGACACCGGGGACGTTGTAGCACAAGGTGAGATGAAAACGAACATTAGGCTCAGCTCAACAAGCTATCCCCGCAAGGATCCATGAGCGAGCGAACGCAGGTATAGTACGCTTTCACGGGAGGTAGGGAGAGAGAGTCGTTTTGCGCAGCTCCCCTCACCCCATTCGCCGCCATGCACAAAGTAGATGAAGGGTTTCAATTTTGCCCTCCCTGCCATGACCTTGGACCTTGGCAGGCCCCCACAACACAAACAAAACATACGTACACACACACTCTCTCTCTCTCTCTCTCTCTGTAAGCCGTGTTAAACCCCTGCTAGGGGAGATTGATCACGTTATGTCGGGGTCATCGGCCCCCACACACAAAGAAAGATTGACCCAACTACCTTAAAGGGTTGTGTCAACTTGACAGGCGTGAAGTGTCAACTTGACAGGCGTGAAGAGTTGAGACATTCTGAGTGCATAAGATTATGGATCTGTTGGGATTTTTTGCTGCCGCCCCACACCAAAGTCGAAGCCTCCGACATTCCCTTCCAGACCCTCTGGAACCGTACAGCATCTTCAAAACATGTAAAAAACACTATGATTATGACATTTATGGATGCTTTATGGTTGTTGCTGCCGCCCCGCCCCATCACCAGTGTAGGGGCCTCCAAAACCGCTACATTCTCTCCCAGACCTGCTGAACCAAAAACAAGATCAATAAAGCATACAAGCAAACAACCCAAAGAGTGTATGGATGTTTTCTGCTTGTTTTTGGTTCCAAAGGGTTTGGGAGGCAATTTCCTGGCATCCGAGACTCGCACAGTGGTTTTAGGATGGGGCGGCAGCCAAAACCCGTAAAGAAACACAAACAATCCACAAACCACTACACACACACATATATATATATATATATGTATACATACACATGTAGAGACTTATTCGTATTCAGTCATGTAGTTAGGTCTTCATGCGAATTTGTTTATGGTTTCAGAGGGTCGGTCAGGGAATGTCATGGTTTTGGAGACTTCGATCCTGGTTTTGGGGTGGGGCGGCAGCAAACACCACAAAACATCACATTGTCTGCAAAACAACGTCTCAACCCTAGAGCCCCAGAGTCCACAAGCAGCTGATTGCAGTTAGTGGGAAGGACGTCACCTACTCCATCAGTTCAAACAAGTCGGTTGGCTAACAAAAAAAACCACGAGATGGTTCCGCACACGCGCCCGCGCGGGTGGTAGTGGGCGCGGGCTGGCGGGAACTTGGACACCAGTGAGATCCAGTTTGCTAGTGTCCAGGCTCTTCTGTCTGGGGTCTTCTGTCAAACCAACGGTCGGCGCAAAAGTCTCCCTGGCAAAACCCGTGGGAACTGCGGTGGCAGCTGCAGACCTCCTCCGTGTGCCCAGCAACTTTAGACTTTTTCTCGGACACCTGGCGGATCTTTCAAGCTGGGCTTTGCCTCACCTGGCATCGTCTACGTGGTCGCACGAGTCCGACGAGCCTTGAACTGGGCTGGGCATGAGAAGCCTGCGCAGGTCTTGTCGCAGCACTGCCTCATGTGGTGCGAGGTCCCACAGCAAGATTTGGACAAATGCGTCAAACACACCCACGGGCATGCTCGCCAGGTGGCTCGTTCGAGCTGCCCACATTTCCAGCATACTTGGCGTCTGCCACCTTGCCATGCGGGGTCGCGGTGATCTGCGATGCACTGCATGTTCGGGACACCACTATGATAAGCAGTAAGTAGCTACACATAGTGTGCATGCGCACGCCCGATCTTGTGCACACTGCGGGTTGGATTCGCCCGCCAAAAAAGATTGCTGACAGAGGCTGAAGATGCTGAAGCCTTGATCTGTCAAACTTTGATCTTTCACGGATGCATGACCTTCGTGCACGCCTTCTTGCGGTCAGCATTCTCCATGCCCCAGACTTGCATGAGCGAAGCTCATGCCACGAAAACATTCACTGTGAAGCCCTAGTCTGGACGGGCCAACCGCTTGGGCCCTTGATATCCTGAATTGGCGGTACCTAGACATCTTCTCCGTTTTGTTCCAGTCTTCTGATTGGAGTTCAACAGAGGTGCATCCGACCGACTTTGAGGCCGTTTCTCGCGGGCCAAAGGTCTACGGCTCCAAACCTTCGAAACGTGACAACTCGTGAGTGGCGGCATGCAGCAAGCTCGCTTCAGAAGAGTCGCATAGCCAGGACCACAGGTCCACAGTTCACAGGTCTTCTCGCAGCACTGCGCATCGTTGGAGCCTGTGTGTCTTCTGCGGATGCCATAAAGACAACGTGCCTTTAACATCGGTATCGACATGTGGACGAATGAGGGTAAACGCTTTTTCGAGTGCCTGGGTGCGGGAGAACCTATGTCTGAGTGCAGAGGGTCAGTCAGTTGAAGATTGGCAACGTTTCTACTTCGCAATTTCTGGGTATGCGTGCCCTTCAATCACCTACGAGTACGACGACACGGCCGTAAGCGCTTTCGCTTGGGCATGCCTTCCAGTTCGTGGTGGTCGCTCTTCGGCACCCAGCCGTCGCCTGAGTTGTCAACACACGATAGGCTCTTGACATGATCTGAATTGCGACACTCACTCCAGGCAGTGTCAGGTGTGTCAACGGACTAGCCTTGCTAGCCCCAGCGCTGAGGCAAGAACTGCAAACATATCCCGTACAGTCGCCCACTTCGAAGGCTGCAGCCTGCATGAAACGGAATGTCGGTTATGTAGGCCACGATGTAAGAACTGCGTGTGCTGGGAGCTACGACAGCCACGAGCACTCCAACTTCTGTGTCAAGCGAGAAGTGCGAGGGCACTACAGCATTGTCAAAATCACATCTTTAAACATGCAACCGGCTTCATCAAGAGCCCCATCCAAGCTGTCTTCCCCGTCTGCGCCTCCTGTGCCTCAACACCTTAGCTCAGTGTCCAAGTCTTGCTCTGTCCTGGCTTATTCGAGGATTGGCTTTTGCCACTGCACGATTCAGGTCCGATGCTCGCTGACGGTTGGCCCTGATTGTCCGGGTACGCCAGCAACTCACACATCAGCCTGATGTTTGCAGCAAGTTGCCGGAGGATGACAGAAGTCCAGCCTTCAAGGCCTGGCATACATCTTCGGATTGTGTGGACTATCGCATGAATGAAATGTATACAGTATACCGACATACTGAGTCGACAGCAGTTCATGCGAGCAAAAAACGTGGCCTCAAGCCCTCACCCCTGCTGGAGACAGATGAACCGGAAGATGCATATCGGCTGTGGCGGGAGGTCACCGCGTGTTGATGTAGCAAGAGCTGTCCAGCTTCGGCTTCGTTGAGCCACTTCGATTGCAACCCACGTACTTGTGCGGTGTCAGTCCATACAGGTTTGCACCAGTCCAAGGCAACAAATCCAGGTGCCGCTTCCAAATCTGTCTGGGCCTGAGAAGTGTAGATGTAGAGGGCAAAAGCAGCCTCAGCCACTTACGTGCCACGGCTTTGTGAGCAAGTTAGCTCGAGATTGAGATGATTTGAGATGTCAGAACTCAACCTGGTTACAGGCATACAGTGCAGTCATTGAGGGCACCGCGATCTTCATTGACAAGGACATAGGGGCTGCAAACATCAGGGTCCCCTGCACAAAGGTTGGCGAAACATCAGACTTGAGAGAACTGCCTGACATTTTGCTTCCCTTCGAACACCAGCTCGAGCTGGTGAAACTTCAGGCCACATACTAGCTGCTTTGCCACGGGTCACGGGGATGTACAAACCCACAGCCTTGCCTTTTCAGCTGCGTTCGGGTCGCATGGACGATGAACGAGCAACTTTGGGCCAAGATATGCATCGGTGCTGAAGTTTGGATGCACGGGAAACACTCGTAATTGAGCATCGCAACAGTCATGCAAAGGCTTGCGAGCATGCATGGTCGTTTCCAGAACATGCCAGCAGTGCACACAATCAAGGCAGTGAATCGTGGATTGCAACAACAACCCTGCAACCGGACTGCGATGGCGGCCTGGGTTTCTTGCCTCGGCGGCACAGCAGTGTTGAAAAATCGTGTCGCAAACAAACTGTGATGCAATGTGATGCAAGGGTCGGCCAGTCTCCAGCCCTGCGCTCGCTTTTTGCCTCAGCACAGGCTCCATCCCAACATCAGCCGTGTCCAAGGCGTAAAGTTGACAATCTCCCAGTAGTCCTCAGTACGACAATATCACGAGACCTCCTCTACTCAGGCATGCGAATACATCCACGAGCAAACGAGGCGCCCCAATCAATGTCCACCCATGGTGCGATTCGTGGCAGGATTGCAAGATGAAAGACAAACTATGACACCGTTGTTGTGCTTGCGGCTTCGCAATGATTTGCAGAGTGTTGGAAGCTGCCCTCAACCCACCTCAAGGCCGTACTTGCCCCTCCGGACCTCACCAACGCCGAGTTGACTCTCGTCTCGCTGGCTGTCTCTCTACGTCTAGCGTGTTAAAAACCTCGAAACATGCGAACCCACGGTTAGATGGGACGGACTCACCAAACGGCAGCTTCAGACACGGCTCGTGCAGAGTGCTCGAACTGCAGGCTTTTGACCTGCGGCGTGCGGATTCTGTCGTGTTCAGCTTCTCTCCATTGCTCCTAAGACCCAAGGGAGCTAAATTTATAGTTGCACTGAACGCGAGGCAGTTTTGTTTACTAACCCGATGCAAATCTCTCAGACCTAGGGACAGAACACTTGCACAAAAGACTTCGGCCACGCGGAGAACATCTCCGTATCACCAAGGCACGCAAGCACCGATAGCTTCGCAGAACGTGATCGAATTCGCGGGCAGCTGCTGCAACCTCATCTCCTGGCTAAAAGTACCGAGTAGGTGCTTGGTCCTGTTCCATTATGATTATTTTGTTACGGCTTCTACCGTGGAAGTCTGTCGGGTGATTGGCGAGAACAGCTTTTCTTCATGCCGGCAAATGTCCTCGAAGAGGCTCAGGGCTTGCGGCCAACGTGCCTCATCTTCACAGGCCCTGATGGCGGCGCTGAAAGAAATCCTCGGATTCAGTGGCACTGCGCTTCCACTTTACGGAATTTACGGCCAGCGCCGATAAAACCATGCAACTTCTCATAAAGCCGGGCTTCACATCTGCTCGGTATCCGCTTTGGCGAAGCTCGTCCAGAAGCCCCAACGCATGCTTCCACTGCTTACCTGGAACATGGCACGACAAGCTGATTGCAGGTGGGGGGGGGGCTGGTGAGCAGCCACAGGGAAGCCCATTCTACAAACCCCGGTGCTATTTACAAACCAGCTCAGATGCCCTTCTCGCAAGCAGAAATGGCTGCATTGCATGTCAACACATTCAGCGGAATCCGACGAGAGGAAAGGTCCTGCCATGCAGCTGCTGATGTATATTGTATGTGTGTATATATATATATATATGTGTGTGTGTGTGCATATATATATATACATGTATGTATATATATATACATATATAGTCGCTTTGTGGGTTCCTAGGCCATACCACGGCCATACCACTAGGCTTGGCTTCAGGTCCGAAGCTACGGAGGATGTGTCATGTGCGGCATCATTGAGGACACTTCAACGACATCATATGAATTCTTCGATGTCTGCTTGCACCCACACGTCCTCCAGCAAGCAAAGTGCAGCTTGCCATTGGCCACCTTCCAAACAGATTATTTGACATTCGCCTCGCAGCCTCTCTATAGTACTATGTCAGCATGCTCTGACCTATATCAGTCGTACCGATGTGTCATTCCCACAGTACCTGTCTCCAAAGTTCCCACGAAGGCGTCCAAGAAACAGCTGTCCCAAGGCATGTTCTGAAGAAGTCCGCTGTTCTTTCAAGTCTTGCAATCCTCCAAGTGCCGAAAGGGCAACAACAGTGTAAATGGCACGGCGTGAGCGAGTGGAAACGAGTGGTGTAAGTCTGGGTGTGTGTATATATATATATATATAAGATTCAGAAAGTCTTTTACGCTGTCCTGTGGAAATCGCGACCCGCATGCCGCCGTCGGAAGACTATGCCACATGCCACTGCAGTGTTTTACTTTTTTTCGCCCCATCCTGCGGATTTTCACCTTTGCCTCATTCGATAATTTTACTTTTCTGTGCACACAATTTGCGAAGCACGCAGTCACGCGACTTGAGACTCGCTGCACGAACCCCAGCCACGCCATGAACCTTTGAACCCGGCAAGATGCCATACTACTTGCACGTAAAGCGTTTGCAAATGCAAGCTGCGGTGAGAGGAAGCGAACGCATGCTTGAAATCCGTCGGTGGTGAATTCATCTTCTTTCTGCACACGGCCCACGTCTGTTGGATCGAAACCAATGCCGGAGGTCACTCTGCCAACCACCACCACCACGATGGGGCTGAATTGCTGGCCCTTGGAAGTGAGGAAAAGGTTGCTTCCTCGTTGCCCGGAAAACTTCGGGAAAGCCAACTATGCAGGTACACTGGCCCTCTCCGGGCCCTCTCCTGTCCGCCATGGTTTTAACTTTGTTCGCAACTCCGGTGGCAAGGGAGGGGAGGTTCAAAAAAGTGCGAGCAAGCGGTGGCCGGTAGCCTCGTAAGCCACATGTCGCGGCCAATTCACGCAGACTGCAGACACCCACCCACCCGCTCGCCCACGTGCAAGCACGCTGGCTTGCTTGATTCGTTGCACTACACCGGTTAGTAACGGTTAATGATCTGGCGGCTGTCCAGCGTTGCGCCATAAGCACATTCGGCAGTTCTGTGCATGTCAACGTCCGGTCTAGCACACATCAGCCTGTGGACATGCAGCACCACACCTTTCTCGCAGGCTGTCACGGTCGCGCCGAAGGTGACGATGTTGGGAAGCAGCTTGAGTTCTGACAACTCGTCGAAGAGATGAAGGGCCTCGAGATCCAACATGCCCAAACACCTATGCCGGATTTCTGGTCTGGACTCGCACACTCACACAATGCAGGCACAGGGTTGAGGGTTTAGGAGTTAGAGTAAACCTTGCCGATTTAGGCTATCGGCACCACCCGGCTGAAAAGATGTTGCACCGCTTCTTTAGATTGCTTAAGGCAGTTCTTGAGTATTAAAAAAATCTAAGAAAGCTTAATGAGTGACAGCCAGAAAGAATCAAACGAAGGTGGCTTCCACTTAAACACAGATGGATTAAACTGCTTACCTTGCACATGCAGAAAAAAGACCTTTCACAAAGTAACTAAAATAAACAACGGAAGGTAAAACAATTAATTGAAGATAGAAGCAGTTGGAAGATGGGTAGAGGAATCACCCCTGATGAAAACGACATATTAAAAACAAACTCACAAGATAATGAAGGCGTTGATACGGTGACCACTGGGTGGGGATCAAGAAAACCTACGCCAGAAGAGAGGTTAGAAAAAGTCGTGGAGGATGTTGAAAGAATAGACAAAGATGTATGTATTTTTGAAGAATAGTTTAAACATGATGGGTTAGTATATAGAAAGTATCTTATAATGAAGTTTAACAGTGAAAAGCCCTTGAGGGCTTAGCACTCTTGGGTTTCAGAGAAACCCAACAGTGTATAGTTCCCCTGCCAAACATCAGAAGAAGATCAGGTCCCATTGCTCCCGTGTGTGATGAACAGTTTCATAAGCACACCATAAGAGTGTGGAAATGATATTAACTCGTAATTAGTTTCATTGAATCTTAAGATAACAAATCTTGTTACAAATAGATATATGTATAACAGTATTCTAACATATAACATTAACAATGCCAATAAAGCAAATAAAATATTAGTTGGTTTTGAAGCGTATAGCCAACCATTGAATATTGTTACTAGGGAGTGTTACCGTTGTAAGCAAGTCAAAGACATTGATTGTCTCAAGCGTTGCTATTAAACTGGTATGCATTCTCATTTTTATGTTAAATACATCGCGACTTGAAGATGCCACAGCAAAAAACCTACAGAAGAGTTCGGGTTCAATAGATCGGGGCAACCTTGGCGCAATTGCATTAAATGCAGGGAGAAGAGAAAGGAATACAAGAAAACTAAGATTGTGGATAAGAAGTCTCAAATCCAAGAAGTTTTTGATCACGTTCACCAGTTGTTCATGAATGATCTGCTTCTGGAAGCTACTTTGTGCTGATTGGAAAGCACAAAAACTGGGTGATGATAGAGATACCTGTTGGTGACAAACCAGAACAAACAAACTAGTTCTCTTCATACAGTGATACTATGATGTAGTTATAATGCAGAAGCAGTTATATATTGTAATTACGTTAGAGTTATAGCCTAAGTTATAGCCCTTAACCCTAAACCCTGAATCAAATTCTACAAGGAACCCCTTGCCTATTTTGAGCTATGGCACTTGGACAGATACGGGTATCTGGGAATAAAATAATTTCTTAAGATAGATATTTATCTTTTGGGGGTGGGCGGTGCCGATAGCCGAAAATAGGCAAGGTATCTTCTAACTGCAGGAAGACGAGGTTGATAAGTGGAGAGGCATGGCTGGTCTTCAGAATTGCGTTGATCTTTCGCTGGTCCATCGACCGACAGACGAACAAGAAGGGAACTGACTAGTAAGAGAAGACAAGCCAGCAAAGCAGCGCGTGAAAGCAGACCTGCATACTGCTAACCGCCTTCAAGCTGTCATGGCTCCAAGCTCCTGCCTGCTCCCATTGTGGATCCCAGTGCTCGCCATCACCAAAGGCACTGATGGCCTCGGCTCGTGGCACAGCTGCCCTACGCTGGTCACCAGAGCCAAATTGACAATTGAACGCGAATCACAAATCAGCTGAGATGTTGCCACTAGAATCTGTGTTTAACTCTGTTTGCAAGGCATTCGGCCATTCTGCCTGGCGACGGCCGAGTAGGTGTAGATATCTGGCTGCAGGGAGCGCTGTGGAAGGAGGTCGAGAAAAGCCAAGGATTGTTCCCACTGCCCAGCTATGCCACAAGCGCTCACGGCTGCGTTGTAAGCGACCTAAAACAATCTGGCCATCGGGGATGTCCATGGCATGATCTCAAGACTCTTCGATATTCTGCCAAGGTTCGATGTTGGCTTCTAGCCTGGAGCTGGTTATATCTTCGAGAAGCTGCAAAGCAATCCTCCACTGTCCACCTCCAGCGAGAGTCGGGTGTCGGACTTCACAGACCCCCCGACCCTGCCTGCTTCGCAAGCAGAGATGGCAGCACTCATTGTCACAGTGCTGGCTTCCAACCGCTGCTCCTCTGGTGCTTCACAGATTAACACTACTAGGCGCTGGGAACTCGCAGCTCCATCCGATAGAACAGCCACCGCTGCGTGACGTGAGTCCTTCACCTCCTGCAAGAAGTTCATCGCCCGCTGCCATTCCTGGCTTTGCCCACAAGCACCTGCCACCAGGATGCAAAAGGAGGACGGGAGAAAAGCTGCAAACAGAGTGCTGCAGAGCGGATATGACTAGCATGGGCGAGAAACGACACAGTGGTGCCGCGGCACTTCATTCAGCTACCGTCTGAGATTCCTGCTGATGACGGCGTTGCAGGTGATGGTGCTTGCCTGCGAATCGCGTTGACTCTATGCAGATTTTGAGTATCTAGCCACCGGGTTTCAACAGCAACCTGGAACACCCGCACAGTTGAAGTGAGTCGGATGCTGTGAGCTTGGCAAGTTTACCCGTGATTGTTTTATCCTTCTCTGCACTTGAATCGCAAGCACTGTCACTGGCTCCTGCAGACGACATTCCCGAAGGTCGCGCAGTAGCCCGACAGCCAAAAACCATTTCCTTTGCAACGCAAGTGAAGGCTGCAAGTACAGGAAGTATGTTCAAACAGCTTCTTGTGCCAAAACGCTCACATCTCCCACAAGCACTGATTGCAGCATTGTAGGAGATCACCTCGCATGCTGCTGCATCGGTGAGCCGATTCGAAAAGCGTGTTCCGGACATCGCAGAAAGTCTGCACCAATCCCAGGGGCATCTGTTTCAAGTTGAACCGTGTGCAGGCCAGCCAGGAGCGACAGGGCCTGCAATCGAACCGCTCAGCTGAGACACTCATGAACTATGAACTTCAGATTTCCGTGTCCGCTCCGCCACTCCAAACCCGTCCGCAGTGCTGGCCTGAGTCCACTGCTCGCCCTTCTCACAGGCACTGATTGCAGCGTTTATGATGATAACATCCTTCGTTGTGGGCCACGCGGTCGTGATTTGAGAGGGCAGGCTGAAAAGGCAGGTCATAGTGGCAAGCAAGTATAGTAACTGAATCAGGCACAAGTGCTCCACTGTTACTGTTGCAGGAGCTCGCAAATCCTGTTCTTGTTTGCTCGCTCACTCTCCCTTTCTTCGGGAGTTCTTGGGAGGTCAGTCTGCATATGCCCAATACCCCTGCAGTATGCGCGGCCTCCTGTCACCTCGAATGGAATGGAATGTTCCACCCTTGCTCTCGCTTGTTTCATCTTCCGTTGCTGTTCTGTGAGACCACCACTGATGCATCAGAAGTGCAAGTGAAGGAAGGTCCAGTATCGTTGCTGAATTCAACAGGACAACACTTGCAACCACCGCAGATGTCGATAAATTCTGGCTATGAGAACTGCAAAGGTACGATCGGCTCGCTTTTAAGAAAGCTCGATCCGACTGACACACTTGTTTCTTGTTCTCTCCCTGTCTGATGCAGAAGAAACCTCCTCACGGCTTCCTAAGTGTCAGCTCCGCCTGCATGAGCTTGTATTTTCCGGTGGCATTTACGGGAAGTCTAACGGCGAGCTCTCATGTACCCATGCAGTTGCAATAGTGTCCAGTGGCAGAATCGATGCGGCTGTGAGTGAGGTCCCCGAGTAATTGCAGAGCGGTCTGCCAGGCCCCGCCTGATCCAAGCAATCTCAGGAGCTGACGTTGCTCGCTTCTCAGATTGAACCCCTAAGCAGAACGTCATCCGATGACAACGATGCCAGAGTTTCCGAAGACAACAGCACTAGTCTCGCGCTCCACGTGGCGAATCCCAGCAGCTCTTCATGTCCGCCTTTCTCGCAGGCGCTGACCGCAGTGCTGACGAGAATGATGTTTGCATCCAGCCCGTCTTCCCCCAGACCGGCCAAAAGCTGCACGGCCTGGACCCACAACATGTAGCACAAGGTGGCTCGATGTCGCCTTTTTCTGCCAAGGAGAGTACCGGCGTAGCGGAACTATGTTTGCATTACAACCGGCAGGGTGAACTCTGTCAGAGGCTCCCCCTGATCGTCCTTGATCTTATCAAGACTCCTGCAAGAACAGATGTTGAACAATGTTGGAGCCTTGCCTGCTCCCAGCACCCGGCATGAGAACAAGCGCTGATTGCCGCACCGACGAGAATGATATTTGCATCCAACCGGTCTTCCCGCAGATCGGCCAGAAGCTGCACAGCCTAGTGGCAAGCTCACAGTTGCTCACAATGTGGCGCGAAGTTTGAAGCGCTACCCTGTCACAACCTGCTGGACAGTAAAGGATGTGCGTTTGTGGTACATGTCATTAGTGTCAATAATATCCCCGTCAACCGGCCGGCGCCTGCTCCCAGCGCCCTGCATGAGCACAAGCGCTTATGGCTGCCCCGTGGACGAAACAGTTCCTCAGCGGGAAAGCTAGAAGCATCGAGGATGGCACGAATGTGGCGATGTCTCGCTTGCGTCTTCAGCCGTCGCTGAAGACGTTATTCACGGACAACACAGCTGTCAGATTGACCTCCACAACATGGTTAGTCCAGGCACGGTTGCCAATCGCGAGCACGGGCTTCTTGCAGTAGATACCTCGAAAATCCAACAACTGTCGCGAAAATATTGATAAGTTGATCTTAAGGATTGTGGCATACTTCCAAGACGGAGAGAGAGATTCTCAAACTTCTCCTTGGGCCGCTGGGGATTCAGGGTAAGCATGCCCACTAGGACAGTATCCGTTGTCGATCGCCCAAGATTTCGTCAGTGGTAGGTGGTAGTGGTAGTAGTAAGTGGTAGGTAGTGGTAATTCTTGTCACCCACTTGGCACGCCAGGGACAGCACTGCGGCGTGTTGACGAGCAATAGTAGTGGTAGTAGTAGTAGTAGTAGTAGTAGTAGTAGCAGTAGTAGTGGTAGTAGTAGTGGTAGTAGTAGTAGTAGTAGTGGTAGTAGTAGTAGTGGTAGTAGTAGTGTAGTAGTAGTGGCAAAACTATT